ATTAGTAAGCCAACTGATTAATCAGGCTCAGATATAAATATAGCCTAAATACAGCAACTAAGTACGGTAACTTTAATCTATGGTTTCGTATGAGAAGCAAAATCTGGCAACACTACGCTATTCGGTGAAGTTTGGCAACGCCGCTCTCCCTCCGAATCGTATCTCACCGTCCGGTACAGTGGTTTGTTATGTTTTATATTGGGTAATAGTTATGGATAAGTTCATAACACGTAAGAAAAGGAAATCAAATGATGATACAAACGTATCTGAGGTAAGTTCACTGTGTACTTTGTTACAATTAATTGTTAATTTCTTCCAGTAAAATCAGGAGTTAAGCTAGGTTATGTTTTGTAGTATAACAGCTCGAACAACGTAACTTGAAAGTAATGTGGTGTATATCGAAGAAAATAACGTAATATTTACTGAAAGAAATATTATACCATTAATTCTGCTACAAGTAGGCCACAACAATATTCTTGTAAAAGAATTAATTACAAGCCATTCTGGTAGATTCTACGATATAGGATTGCTTTTGGTACGATACACCATTGGTACTGTGGCTACGGATCCAGGCAGTGCTGCTACCTTTGGGTGTTTCAGTGAACTACGTCCACTCACAGGGCAACGGAGCACAATCACCACTGATCTTCTGTGATTGGTCAGACTGAAATATTTGAATGCCAATTGCGTTTGCTGATTCAGTGTCGCGCCTAGGCAACGCCTCACTGCCATGGCGAGCGCCTGTTTAAAGATTTTCAGCACTCAACGTGTTAAGTAGTTTTTGGCGTATTTTAGATTTTTATTTTTCATATTGAGTTGTGGAAATGTGATGGTTAAAATTATACATATGATGTCATTTCAGTGTTCCAAGTTGTACATACAAATTACATTCTGCAATCAAAACAATAATCACCAATTTTGAACTTAATAACAAATTAGTGATTTAGCGTCAGTTGAAACGTTATATAAGTAAACAATATTGAAATTCACTCAACTCACGTCAACGGTTGAGCTGTGTTTAGATTTTTTAAATAAAGACCTAAATTTGTTATTACCTATTTATAATCCTACTAATAGTTATTAGCCTTCTTTTTAGGTTGAACCGAAAGTGGGGAAAATTGACAATACACCCTTACCCATTCTTGATCTTCCTGGACCTGTTTCACAAGAAAGTTGTTCAAATTTACAAGTAAGTTGCTCTGAAGTGGACATTGGAAGCATTTCAAGCAGCATATTTCATTCTTCAAATAAATGCGTTAATACTAGTGACGAAGAGAAACTAAATATACTTAAGGGACTGTTTGTGCCAGATGCAACATTTAAGTTTCCTACCACACAACTACAGAAAAAACATCTAAAGTTTCAACACAACTGGCTGCAACGATGGAACTGGCTAGCTTATTCAAAACTAAATGATGGAGCCTATTGTAAATTTTGTGTTCTCTTTTCTTCAGAATGCTTGGGAAAGGGAGATTTATCTGTTCGAACGGCATCATTAGTAGGACAGCCATTCAAAAAATGGAAAGATGCTGTTGAGAAGTTCCAGCACCATTCAAACAGGAACTACCACAAATTGGCTACAATTTCTGCAGACAATTTTCTGAAAGTTGCAGAAGAGAGAATTGAAGATGTAGCCACCATTCTTGATAACAGGAGGAAAAAAGAAAAAGAGCAAAACAGAGCTGCCATTCTACCAATCATAGAGACAATAATATTGTGTGGAGAACAAGAGCTACCCTTAAGAGGTGACAATGACAGTGGACCCTTGACTCTTGAGAAACCAAAGAATAAAGATGGGAAATTTCGAGCTCTCATTAGACATAGAGCAGCTTACGACTCAACTCTCCAGGACCACGTGATAAAATGTCCTAAAAATGCAACCTACCTTAGCCCAGATATCCAAAATGAAATCATAGGTATTTGTGGCCAGATAGTACAAGAAAAGTTAGCAGCAAATGTCAATTCTGCAGAGTGTTTTTCAATCATCGGGGATGAAACTCTAGATGTTTCTGGCCAAGAACAACTGTCGATTTGCATAAGGTACGTTACAAATGAAGAACATTCATCACTGAGAGAGGAGTTTGTAACATTTGGTCCATTAGTAGATTTAGGTGCGGAAAGTATTGCTCAAAAAATAATTGAGGCATGCAGAAAACTTGGTATTGACTTAGAAAACAAACTGGTCGGCCAAGGGTACGATGGAGCGTCTACAATGAGTGGTTGCAAAAGTGGAGTTCAAACTAGAATCGCAAAGCTTTTTCCAAAAGCTATGTATGTTCATTGCTCAAGTCACCGTTTAAATCTTGTCCTTTCTGACTCTCTCAATGTTCCTCTAATCACAAACAGTTTGGGTGTTTTAAAAGAGACTGTTAGTTTTTTTAGGCACAACACACAAGCAGGAGATATTTTGAAAGAAAACGTCAAAATATTTTGTCCTGAGTCAACAAAGTCAAGGCTTCTAAAACTTTGTGAAACAAGGTTTGTTGAGCGGCAAGATTCGGTAAATTCATTTGTAGAACTGTTTCCAGCAATAGTCCCCAGCCTAAGAAAGTTGTCAGAACTTAACCGATCTTTTTCTGTAACCGCTTCAACGCTCTTAGCTGCAATGGAGAAAGGAAGCTTTCTTGTTTCTATTTTAGTATGCGAATACATTTTTGGCCTGACTCTGCCACTTTCTCTTTACCTCCAAAGTCCAACTAAAGAGCTTGCTTCAGCAATTAAATATTGTGACGACATTTTGAACCGACTGAAGGATCTTAGAGCTGGATCTGGAGACGAAGAACAGTTTCACAAGATTTTTGAGCGATCCAAATTGATGTCTGAGTTAGTTCTGGAGTGTGAAATTGAAGTTCCGAGACAAACTAAAAGTCAAACTAAACGAGACAACCATCCCCACAGCTCTCCAGAGGATTACTTCAAACGAGCAGTTTTTATTCCAGCTATAGACGAACTTGTTGTCAACATCGAGGAAAGATTCAATCAAAACCGCAAGTTCCTGTCCTCAATTGAAGTAATCCTCCCAAAAAACTGTAGCCTTCAAGACCTCCACCTTTTGGAAAACTTGAATGTTTATTATGAAAGCAGAGTTTCACAAGAATTACTCAATGCTGAATACTCCATGTGGTGTCAAAAGTGGAGTTCAGTCAAAAAGTCAGACCGGCCGACTCAACTTATGACAGTGATAGACTCGTGTGATAAGAACTTTTATCCAAACATCAGGTACTTGCTATGTGTGTTGGCATCACTGCCTGTGTCAACATGTGAAGCTGAGAGGTAATTTTCTGCGTTGAAACGTATTAAGACTTATTTACGGAATAGGATGGGAAATGAGAGACTGACGGGACTAGCCTTAATGGCTATTCATTATCCTGTACCATTCACCGCAGAAGATGTTTTGAATGTGATGGCGGCTAAAGGAAAGAGAAAATTCATTCTTTAAAATGTAATAATTTCATGTTAGGTCTATCGTTATTGTACTAAAATACAAAACTTTCACCTTGGGAGTTGCATATCTTATGTTCCAACTAAACCTTCAATTAATCTCATTTTTAACTTATTCTATCACTAAGAAAATTACGTCTTAAGGCGTCTGAGAGGTCATTGAAACTGTTACAGCATTTATGAGTTAGTAACAATCTAAATTCTACACGACAGTACTTAGATTAATAATCTATAACAATTTTATATTTTCACAGAAATTGGCTATAAACACGTAGCCAATTAGTAATAAGAAACAAAAAATATCCACCAAGGCCTTTAAATGTCTCAATTAACATATTTAAAAATATGCCTGGACGTACTAAGCCAAATTATTGTCAAAGGAGTTGGTTATTTTCAATGCCATGAGAGCTGAAAAAGGCCATTTTAGGGCCTATATTTCCAAAAATTTTCCCCCCAGACCCCCGGTGACTCGACCCCCCCCCCATTTGGGAATCCTGGCTACGTCACTGCCAGAATTTCTGGATGGACTGTGTCAAGGATAAACTATATTCACCATGCCACTGTAAAATGTAAATAGTGTAAAAATACTTAAGTTTAGTCCTATGTTTTTATTGACAACTCATATGAGATTGAGACAATCTATCAAACAGTGTCGGTCAAGTATGAAGACTTTAAGTAAGTTCGGTATTAACTTAATGTATTCCTTGACCCTCCAAATTCGTATTAATAACTTATCAAGAGTCTAAGTTAATTAAACTGCAATTCTAACAACTTAAGTAGTAGGCTACTGTAAAATTTTAGGTTATGCTACTTACTGAAGACGTTTCTCCACATTTATGTATTAAGAAGACGTTCTAAAACACAAAACACATACATAGTCAAACTTAAGTCCATTTAAACAAACTTACGGACCTAAACCAAATAGAAATAGACTGTCTTTGTGACAAAAGAAACCTAAATGTAAAACAAAATAATGGTTTATGTTTATGGTTTATTTTGGTTTTTTGAAGAGAAGAGAAGAGGAAGGTATGGGATGGAGAGAGGGTGAGAGTGAGAGAGAGGAGCGAGAAGACAGTGTAGTAGGGGGAGCACAGTGAGCTAAAGCATTGACTTGGTTTATAGAAAGGAATATATTTAGCTCAGTGGGGGATTATGAAAATACAAAAAAGTTAAGAATGCTGCAGAATCAATTAATAGTGTGTCGTCTATATTAAATATTGTGTAATAAATTTAACATTATCTTTTTTCACTGAATATTTCTTTGTATCTGTTCAAAATTATGCTAATGGTACTGAAAGCACACATCAAGTGTAAACATCCTGTAACATATTTTGAGTGTTACATTTCGTTAAAGGTGAAAATGAAAAAAATTATGTAAATCTTGTTTTGTAGCACTATATTATTAGACTCAGGTTAATTTACAGAGTGCACGTATTGTGCCACGCACGTATTTTATACTTATTATTGTGCGCGGATTAGTGAGGGAAAAGCGGAATTTTTATGCTTGTGAGGAGGGATTCCTATTCCTACCGGAGCTGTGTGGCAACACTGCAGAGGAGAGGTGGAGAGGACAACGACAAAGACAAAAGGCGATCGCGATCGCACGCCAATCCATCGAAAATTGTTTTGTATGACCCTGAAGTGATAGTGTTTTAGCATTTTATCATTTAAATAAATTAATATTCCAAAATAAATTCATCGGAATGTCGAGTAAACCGGCTGTTGTTCAATCTGCTCCGGATGATCCCAAATTTTTACTTGATCCAGAAAATATTCCAGAACCAACATTTTTGCAGGATAAATACCTACCCGTCACCTTAGCTTTAGCAGGATTCACATCAGCTGTTTATAGAAATTATACTAGAAGAAGACCTCTTTATGCAGGTAAGCTAACTTAATTCATTTTTAGTTATCTTAGTACTTAGATAGAAAGTAAGTTTGTCTGTCCTGAGACTAGGCCTAAGGCCCGGTTCACTCGAGCGACATACCTAGCCGACTAGGCTGTGACTAGGGAAACCCGACTGCGTAGCAGACCACAGGATCAAATAGAGCCGTTCACACGAGCGTAGGACAAGGACGCCGACTGTCCCAAAACCCAGTCGGGGCCCCGCTTCCCAGTCACTCGTGGCAGCTACCCAGTCACCTAGTCGAGCGGCGTAGCAGTACACATAGTCTTATGGGAGCGTTCACACGAGCGATCGGGTAGTCGCGCTGCAGCTCGCATTCTTCCCTTTGTGCACCAGCTATGGATCCGAGTGGTTTTGATATCAATATTATCATCTAGTCTGTGGACATGTTGCTCGTGTGAACCGGTGTTAAATATCCTGTGGTACGCTACCCAGTCGGGCTTACCTAGTCAAAGCCTACTCAGCTAGGTATGTCGCTCGTGTGAACCGGGGCTTAAACTTGGGCCAGGTCTAGCATTATCATTGTGGCAAATGTATCTCTACACACATCCGTCTAATTTAGCCTTTATATTTGTTTCTAGGATATTTTTTAATGAATAGGCCTACCAGAACTTATCATTAAAATAAATCCCTAGCTCTGTAGCATAAGCCTAGCCCTAGGTCTATTTAAGTTAAGTTACCATGGTTTGTTTACTTAGGCCTACAATGGTATTTCTGGAATTTTCTTCTAAACCTTCATAAGTTAAGCCAGTCCTACGATCCTAATAGACTAAACAATAAAATAGTCCTATCTTTAAAACATATTTTTAAGGTGTGGAAACCACCGAAAATTGCTGAAATATACGGAATGACTTTCTTAAGGGGGGGGAGATCAAACACCTAGGAACAAGAAGTAAAGTGATACGGATCTACTTCGGTTGAAACTGAAACAATGAATGATCTTATTTATTGGGGAAGGCAGATGCGCAGAGCGGTCTGCCCGGCAGCGACTTGCCTCGGGGCATAATTTTGGGTAGCTTTGCATTTTGCCCTCGGGTGCATGTGGGCGTCTTTTTGACTTGACCTGCCTCGCCCGGTCCTATGTGTGGCACTCCATAAGCGCCCGTGCATTTCCCGTTATACATGACTCCCTGGGGCAAAATACTCTGTCACGGCGCACCTCACCAGGTTCTGTCTGTGGCTGGCCTAAGTCTGAGTTTTTTTACAGAACATAGATCTAATATTTGGGCTGGATTTACAATACAGCATATTGTGATTGTAGACTATAATATAAAGTGACAATTTACGTTATTTGAAAATATTTTTTACAGGTGCTCAAGTAACTCTTGCTGTGACGCTTATCGGTGGTGGCATTGGTTGGTGGATTCAAACCTATAGAACTGCATACTGGGCTGACCGAGATGCTATTCTCCGCCATTACGTCCAACTTCACCCAGAGGACTTCCCTGCTAAAGGTATGAGCTAATATTATTGTATTTTGGTTTTGAAGTAGCCAATTATTGTCTAGTGTACAAAAATACTGAGTTGGTAAAACATCCTCACCTAAAAATAATTTATCACTTGATGACTAGGCCTAATCCCATTTCGTAAAGGAAACGCAACTCCAACACGCTTTATTACTGCGAGTATTGCATTGACTTTGTGCAAGCGTTTTTAATTAAATTTTTTTTAGATCTCGTCTCAAAAAAATCTTGATCAAAAAATCTTTCTTGTAGAACAAGATTTAAAATTTGTAACGTGCCGTTTTTCCCGCTCGGAATATATACGCTATTCCGCAGTTATAGTGGGAAAGACGTCACCAACTCTCGCCAGCGGATCGCTCTAGTCGGCGTGCTGGGAAGTTTCCAGGGTTCAGATAAAAATAATTTATTTGATTAACTTAACAACCTAGCACAGGTACAAATTTTTATTTACGCAAAAATGTAGTGTGAATCAGGTGTGAACTCAGTACCGGTAACCAACAACGCTACTGTACCATCATCATCGTTCACACCTGGGAACAGATAATTAAATTAAATTTTAAAATAATGAAAACCCGTTCAATGAAATTTTGAAACAATTTAATGTTGCACTTTCGTCAACCTCGACACTTAAGAATTACTTAGCTGAATATACTTAGCGTGCTCCACCCGACCTCGTGTTTGCACGACCTGCAGAGACGGGTTCAACTTTGCCCGCTTTGCCGCAGCAGTTCAACACCTACTGAATATCCCGGCAAAATATTCTATAAAACCCCGTCACCCTCAATATATATTGTAAACACAATATTAAACGAAATTTTTATCCCTAAAACTCTTTATTGCCACCCACGGGAGCCTTAGCATACGCTAAAGCGGACTTATACAAGTTCTAACACCCGACAAAGACCCTACCATGAGTTTTATGTCTAAAAGAATAAAACGAGGGTTAATTGCTAAGTAATAACTCTGAACAATAGTAAACACTATTTAAAGCAAGCGGTGAATTACCTGTATTCTCCAGGGATCTCCAATAAAACCCTCAGCTAAAATCACGCTAATGGCAAAAATCACTACAGTAATCACTCTAAGTCACGTCCTATCCTAACTCTAGCAATCGCAGGATTAGAATGTCGTCGCATCCCTAGCCCACAAGGGATCTCCCCTACTTCCCCCTACCTAATCCTCTAGGGATGGGGAATCAGCTGATTCTATTCCCAGCTGATCGATGACGTCACGAGTTCAAACTTGGCGCTGTCACGATTCACAACACAACGCCAAGACAGCCGACTAGTGGTACAGGTTATGTTGTTATTTACCTACGCCGACTGTGAAATTATACGGCGGAACTTTAATATCGTTGCTGGTTTAAACAAAAAGTATAATTTCCACCCGTGACGTGTAGCTTAGTGTGCGACAAAGTGTATGCATCTTACGTACGTGATATTGTATTCGTGATCGCGGTTCACCACCCTAGCCTAAACAACAACTTTGACCGTACTTCCCAAAGGTGTATATTAGGCATGGGGGTTACACGGAAACGGCTTATCACTCGTTTTGTACACAACGATGCTATACTGTGACTTGTGAATCTCAACAATAGTGTCTTTAGTGATTTTGCCAAAAGTGAGGTTATCCCTACTTCAACCCTAGGATAGGCCTAGAACAGCCTATTTACCTTACCATGATAGGTTTGCCACTATCACCAACCAGGTAAGGAATAGGCCTACTGATAATTAAATAATAGATATAAAAACTTAACCCCTCTATAATTTTGACCCATTACAAATTTCCTGAAATTTCGAGACTTGTCTATCACTAATTAATATATTTATATGAACGTGCTCTTGTTTTTATCAAAACTCAAATACATTACCGGTACCCTCATTGATCGAAGATAGGCTCATAAGATTATTATGCTATTTTACTCAATGGCACTTCATCCACGTCATCCTTTTCCGGCCATTTATACTTAGGCCTATTACCTTTCTTCGAAACAAATTTGACTGTTCCCACTAAACTTTCATCGTCGATCACCAAAAAATCTGACTAGGCCTAACATATTTGTTTTTTGTTTTTTTTTTCGCCCCAGTTCCAAAGGGGACAATAACACACTACCCGGCAGAAAAGTTTGAGGGGTCACTGATGGAAGGCAAGGACTTCTCTTATGGGATTGTTTGTTTGGACCCATTAAGCCTATTCCTAAATTTTTTTGTACTCATTTCGGGACACTAGGCTATACAGTACATATTGAATTTGAACGGATGTTGTTTTAGGACTTTGGGGACATCAAAACGATCAAGCAAATAGTTTTTGAGTCTAGTTCTTACAAAAAGAATTACAGTAATAGATTATTCCCTATACGGAAAAACCTATTAAATAATGGAAAAATATTTTTTTAATAAAAAACTGTTCAAACGATTTGTATTAACATGTAGGATATCTTAGTCTTCTCAACCTTGAACAAAATGTCACAACCCCAAAAGCTTTAAATTTACGGTTCAAAAGTAATTTAAATTTCATCATTCCCCATTTTAGAAACCGTAGTGTTACTCCCGCTATTAATTGTTTTCCCTTATAAAAATAGTAGGATGTTCAATTTTAATGCTATATTTAAAAAAAGACGTATGTGTTAGTTTGCTGATAACTGTTTTGATTTTTTACAGAGAGAGTCGTTGTTGGTGATCTGTTCAAGCCGTGGATTCCAAATCGCTAGAAACTCCACTCATCTCGATCTGTAGTTCTTCAGGAGTGCTAGCTGTATATAAGTAAAACATTGTTGTTTCTGTTATTAAATTCATACTACTTTCACCATTGCAGTTTTTTTATTTAGATTTTAATATCTAGGGTAGTTCTGTGCTTGTCGTGTTATATGTCAAACTACCTTATAGAGTGACTCCAACAATTCTCTAGCTTTGATTTTTATAAGCTAGACTATTTTTTGGCTTGATTTCATATTGTTTTTTTGATCATTGGTTACAGTAGCCCACGCCAGGGTTGCCACCTTAGGTTTGGGGAAAATCGGGTCATGGCCTCCCCTCCACCCGCATTAACACAGGCTTAAACACCGACATAAGGAACCAAAATGGGACTGTCCTGACAGAATCGTGACGGGTGGCAACCCTGGCCTACGCATGCCTATTCATATTTCAGTGAAAGAGTGAACGTTACTTTACTAAGGAGCCTGTATCTCTTATTTCTAAATTACTATGTTTGATTACAGAAAAGTTTGTGAACTTTGCCTCCCATTTTTTTGCTTAAAAACTTACTAGTTTGTAGGTGAGATTTTGATCACAAAACTGACCAAGCGTTGTTGCCATATTGCGCAACTTAAATTGCAAAGTAATGTTAATGTGCAGCAACCCACTTACTCTTACTGTTATCAATACCATAGGTATATTTTAAAGGTAAGTTTAGTGGCTGGTTCAGCTAGCTTATCTGAGAAAATTACTATTCCATAGTAGGCACAATGAAAAGTCTAACACTAATATTTTGCCCTAATATAGAACTTCTTGAAAGAGTATATTGAGGACAAATAAATGTCAGATAAAGTTCCACCTCTGCTCTTTCACTGAAATTTCTCCAGTAAATCTTCTCATGAAGTTCTATAAATATTATATTTAATGATTCACCCCATGTTATACACACAAGCAAAGGATGAAGTAGGAGGGAGCTGGTATGCAAGGTTAAAACTGCATCGAACCTAGACATAATGGTAAAAATATAACACATGGGAGGGAAAATGAGTCATACGTACATACATAATTACATTTTATTACAAAAACTTATACACTAAATGGCAAAACTTTAAAAACTAATGTATGTTTCAAACTAGATACTCATTGATATTTTAATGATCTAGAAACTAAGATCTTTGGCAATGAGTCCTTTGTAAGAAGGAATTTTATATTCTAAATATAGGAAATTTAATATACTATGTAAATGCTTTTTATCTTCTCTTAAAGTAATTTATATGATTAGTACATTTTAATAAAACTCATATTTAAATTCCATTTCATCGCAAGTTCCTTTGCATATTTTTGCATATTTCCTTTATGCATATTTCCTTTGCATAGTTCCTATTTTTATGCATATTTTTGGCTAAGAACAAGTTAGTGATGAGTGTACGATGCTGGGCAATCAATAGTTTTATCAATACTTATGAATTCAATAATTGAGAATTTCAGAAACATGAATGTTGCATACAAAGCTACAAAGTTTCACAATACAGATAAACCAAGATTATTTCATTCAATCATTTTGACTTACTTACAAGACATTTTTTTACAATATTGAGTTATTTTAATACTGTATTTGAACATTGTCAATTACTGCCTATTAGATCTCATTTAACAAACCATAGATAGACCAAATTAAGTGCATTGTCATTTCTCTAGTGGTCCAAAAAGTGGAAGTGCATTAATTTGATAATTTAGCCATATCTTCTGATGGTACATTGCTTCGTAAGATGATGTTTGTTGAAACATGAATAGTTATTTAACAGGCCAATGTTTCGATCAATAAACCACAGTTATAATTAACAACACTCTACACAACCCTATGATTTTCCGTATACATTTTGCATAAACCTTCTTGCTCTATTTTTCTAGTTAAAAACAAAATCATGCAACTTGTTGGTTTACTACTTTTGCCAAACCAGAATCAGAAATATTTACATTCTAAGTTATAAAATAAAATTGTTCTGAAAGAATTTTCATAAGTCTAATACAGACTTTTCTCGACAGCAAGATGTTAAGGTCATAGTAATTTGCAAAACAGACTACAAGTATAACCTCAATGTAACTATTACATTATTACCTATATTAACTACTTTTACAATCAGTTTCTCTCTATTCAACGTAGTGCTTCTTACATTAATTACAATCTCCAACTTAGTTTACCCTGGCTTTGTCTACACAGTCACAGTCTCATCCGCAGATAATGTTTCCCGGAGTGTGTCGCGTTGTGTTTTCACGTGCTGGTGATGTGCGACTTAACACCACTGTTGCGATACCATCGTCGCACGTACCACACAGTCGCGACGGCAGCAAGCAGAAGTGCAACGCACATGACAGTCGCTATGGTCGCCACCTTGACAAACAGAAATATTTGTTTGCATATATATATATATTACTCTTGTTGGGATTAAATTAACCTTGTATTACAGATGAAAAAATATGTTCTCGGTCTAATTAATTGTTCCCTGACTTTTTAATAGAACATTTAGCAAAATCTTTTGTGTCTTAAATGTTAACGGCCCATTTTTACTTTCTCCCCCTATACCATAGTATATGGAGAAAGTATTGTTTTCGTCAAAATTTTCGAGTTTGAGTTTTGAGTGGATATATTCGTTTTGGGTCCCCCTGGACCCAAAAAAGTGGTTTTCGAAGTGATGTCTGTGTGTGTCTGTGTGTCTGTGTGTCTGGATGTGTACAGAGCTAGAGACTACACCTGTGGTCCGATTTCGATGAAATTTGGTATGTAGGTTCTAATCCATGGTATCTCCAGGCGTTTTTTTCATTTTTTTGAAATTTTGATTTTTAATGGGGATTTTCCCATAAAAACCCATAAAAAACCGGAAAAATCGGATTTTCTCAAAAATGGCCTGAACGATTTTGATAAAAATTTAGTATGTTGTAGCCCTTTAAATTCTGAACAAAATGGTACAAATCCCATTTCTGTAAAAATTACGGTTCAAAAGTTATGGTAAATTATGTTATTTTCCCATAAAAATCCCATAAAATAACAAAAAATAGAATTTTAGACAAAAAAAATCCGTTTTTATTTAACATAGTATGTTATGATCCTTACAATTTTGATAGTTTTTCTCATTTCTTAGAAATTTTTATTTTTAATGGATATTTTCCCATAAAACCCCATAAAATGACGGAAAAAAAGATTTTCCCAAAAATGGCCTGAACGATTTCGATAAAAATTTAGTATGTTATAGTCCTTTATATTCTGAACAAAATGGTACAAATCCCATCTCTGTAAAAATTACGGTTCAAAAGTTATTGTAAATTATGTTATTTCCCCATAAAATAATGGAAAATCATATTTTCCCAATATTGGCTCGAACGATTTTGATAAAAATTTAGTATGTTATAGTCCTTTAAATTCTGAAGAAAATCTTACAAATCCCATTTCCGTATATTTACTCTCACCGCTTACACATGATAAAGGTTGTTGACAAACTTATGGGAGAAAGTATGTGTCAGAATGCTGATACCGTTTATTAATAAATATTTTCTGAATTTCCAGTTTTAGTAGTTGGGATCTACGTAAGGGGGGCTGTTTTGCTTAATCAAGTTTTTTTTTTAACGAATGGTTGGAGTTTAAAGGTTGATGTCGAGGGAAAGGGTGCTGCAAACGTTTTGAAGTCAGATGGAAAACTTCGTAAAGTTTGTCTTAGTCAGTTATACCTGATGTTTACCAAGTTCTGCTGAATGTCCTTGGTTTATGATTGCTTTATTGAACGGGAATGTTGCTGGAAGTCAACAGTCCCGGAAGATCAAATAATTTATACCTGTGCCGCTAGGTCAAAAACTACAATGTTTGCAGTGTCTGTAGATCAAAAGTCCCAGTAAGTCAAATAATACAGTCCGAGCTAAAAACGTGGTCTATGTTAAAGCAATTGACTTATTGGGAATTTGACCTAATGCAACAGCAGTTTTAATATAACGAAATACGGTAAAATACAAGTTCAGTTTCGCTGAGTCAACAGTGCCGGAAGATCAAAAGCAATAAAAGTGAACGTCGATTCAGTGTAAAGTAGACCTCCTGCAACGCTTACTACACCAACAAAACTCGCTTTTAGTTACTACGTGTTTTGTCATAATTAGAATAGAGCTAAAATTATCACATTTGGTACATAGCTTATCTATTAATGCTTCTTGCCAACTGTTTGGTCAACACTGTAAATAGGTATAGTTTATGTAATGAAAAGCCTTTCGTCAAAATTTGTGGCATGAAATACACGCAAGGACGATCTGAAAATTTCTGGTTATTATATACGTTTGTAAAAGGAGATCCATTTAATTTTAGAACTATTTTATGAGTTATAATGTAGTCTACACATATACTGTGTAAATTTATTACGCCTCGGAAGGGTTGAAACCTGTCCAACTATCATATATATTATTAAAACGTAAATGGGGGTTTTTTCACATTCTGAATCAACCAGTAGACGGATTTTCATTACTTTGTGTTGAAAGAAAGATAATTTTGAGAACTAGGGAATGTCGAAGCCATAATTATAATTAAGGGTCCCAGTTTTTTAGAAATTAAGTTTTAATTTCTTAAAAGTCTAGCAGGCGACGCTAACCTTCTAAGCTAGCTTTTAGTACAATATAATTTGCTTAACATAACAGCTGTAAACATTCAGCATTTGTGACACAAATTCAGGATTTGGAAACAAATTTAAAGACATATTTAGGGTTGAGTTATTTATACTATGTGTAATGCTGACCATTGATACATTTAATTGTTAGGTATGAGGATGGCAGATTAATTAAATTAGCATAGTAAAATAGTAGGATGTTCAAATTATTTTTTAAAGGGATCTTTGTAATTATCGATTTGTTTTAGTCCCATATAATTTGTTTTAACTAACAGCTGGTTGAATGTCATATTGTTCTATATAACTATTAGGTTTTTGGCGAATTTCCCATATAGTGAATAAGCTATTACCGTAGTACTTATGGTAACACCTGGACCCGGGACCGATTAAATTTTTCATTTTGAGGCCCCTAGAGGCCAAAAACACCATCCGTTCAAATTCATATATACAGGGTGATCAAATCAAGGAGGCCACCATTGGGAAATCGGAAACGGTAAGAATTAGAGAAAACTTTAAATGGGGACATTCCTTTATTTTTTGTGGCAGTTAAAAATATGATTTTAGTTTTTTATCATGTTTTCTGATAGAATATGCAGTTTAAAAACTTTTTTAGCGTTGACATTTTTTCGATAAACCCACTCGTTTAGGAGTACAGCCAATGGAAAAATGACTTCCGGTGTACATTTTACATCATGTAGCTCCTAAACGAGTAAGTTTAGAGCAAAATTGCAAAAAGTAAATTAGGCTTAGAATTGCATCTACATTCCTTAAAGACTATAAAATAAATATTTTTCCACTTTTCAAGTTTGCCGCCATTTTTTTAATAATATAATTCATATTTTTAATGAATTTTATGGTCTTATTGGAATGTGGATGCAATTGTTAGACTTTTTTACTCTTCGCATTTTTGCTATAAACTTACTTGTTTATAAGCTACATGATGTAAAATGTACACCGGAAGTCATTTTTCCATAGGCTGTAACTCCTAAACGAGTGGGTTTATCGAAAAAATTTCTAGGGTAAAAAAGTTTTTAAATTGCCTATTCTATCCGAAAACATGATAAAATATAGGGTGTTCCATAAGAAATTTCAAATTTGGCCGCCATTTTGGAAAATGGCGGCTGAATTTCAAAAAACTAGATACAGTAGTCACCACTCTATGCGACATAAACCAGAAAATTGTAATCGTATGATTCTATAAGCATTGGTAGGATTGCAAAGTACTACACAAACATTATTTCAAGGGTAATAACAGTTACAATTTCCGCTGATTTTAAAAGAGCCAACTAAAATATTATACTAATGGACACACAACTAAATGGAACAACTAATGGAAATGCTCACGATGTACATATAACAGTTCGATACATATAAGCATTGAGTATACACGTCAGTAGATACGTGTATACCCAATGATATAAGCAACGGTTCTTGCAATTTATTGCTTATTGTTTTTTAGAGTTGTTTTCGGACTTTACTCACACTCGTATAAGGTTGTCCACGTTTGCCATTGATAATGTAGCCATGTTACACCCATTATCACGAATATGTTTACAAGTTTTCCGTCTGTTTTTGAATAGCGATACATTTTTTCACATACTTAAGAACCACCTGATTTCATGCATTACATGTTCGTCTCAATTTTATTTGCTTTAGTAGGCATTCTTTTGGTTGATGAGGACTTCAATCGGTCCTTGCAATGATTGCTCATGAAATATAGTAATTTGTCCATTAATTTTTATTGTTTTGTAAAATGGATTAAATTATCCAGCAAATCCAAATTGAAATAGTAAATTATAGTATTTCAAACAAATCAGTAACATGTTAATAATGTAGCCTACATTATATCCTTGAATTGCATAACAGCAACTAATTGAGCTGATCCTAATATAAATAGGCTAAATCAATATGTTCTTCATAGGCATAACATGGGTTCTTTAAGAGCCACTGGGGCTGAGCCCAAGGGATTTAAAAAACGTAAGGTTGGTTTGCAAATGTATGTGACACGCTCTTTCTAATGCGACATGAATGGTCAAAATCGCCTAAGAAATGCGGAGGAGTTCAACGGAAAAATTTCGTGTTGGCGTTATACAGTGTGGTTGAAAAGTCCTGGATTGGCTATATTTTTTTAAACAATATAGATAAAGTAGTGAGACTTGGTATATCAATAATAGCCATAAATATCTACTGTCTTAAGCTATTATCACTTTTTTATCCCTTAAGGGGGATGGACCACAAAGACTAAGAGAAAATTCTTATACAATTTTAATACTATTTTACCTGTTTTTGAAATGCCGACCATACAAATGTTTGCATTTTTAGCCAAGTATGAATGGAGATGAGTGTGTGAGGAGTGGAGCGATCTTGTTGTCCTGTTAGTGACTAATGCCGACATAATACTTAGACACAGCTGTTAATTAATAGTCCATACAGTCAATTAATATTAGCAGAGGTCAAGTTTGGTATCAAATTAAAGGTTTTATTTATAAAAATACATTGCCGCAAACCCAAACTCAAACGATGATGATGATAATAATGTAAATGATGTATTTAAAACGTATCGTTTGAAATTTAACTACTGAAAATAAGTGAAATAGAAAAAGGTTTTGGTTAAATCCATCAAATTGTAATTGGACACTAGTAAGTACTAGTGCATTTGTTGCTACCTGCCCCCTTCGATTTCATGTATTCCTCTCAATCAGTTCAAACCTAGGAGGATTAAACATTAATGTTAATTAATGATAAATCCTCCTAGGTTCAAACCCGAAACACCCAGATCGAAACTCGCTTGTCGTTATTTTAACATCGCCTTATTTTTTTTTACTATATTTTTCAAAAAAGAAAGATTATATTGATTTACTTTGGATTTTAAAAATGTGAACGTTTTATTTTATTAAAGATTTATGGTGATACGTAAATATTGTGGTGTAGTAAAGTATATTATATTGTGGTTAAGTGTTAAATTTTGAAATTTTAGGGTGAATCGAGATGAATCTTTTTTTATAACATGGGTCTCTTCCTACCTTAACATACATACCAAGTTTCATAAACATCGGTTGAAAAAGTGTAAAGATAAATATTTGTATGTAAAAAATACAAAATGGCGGATATCTGGTTAACGAAACGATTTTGGAAAAAAAATTAATCTTCATTTTCTGTTTATTTTGACCCAAGGAATTACTAGGTAAAGTATCCCCCCGCTTATTTTTAACACCCTGTTTATGATGTATTCTAATAAGTGAAAAATGTAAGCTGGTAATACAGAAAGATGTTTTATAAATAATATGAATGTACTGGTGATCTGTATATTCATCTTTTTCTTGTTCTTAGAACTGTAAATTAAAAGTCCACTCAGCAGTCGCATCGTACGATGTAGTTCTTTCCATGCGTTGCGAAATGCTAAATTTGCCGTCCTCTTCAACCCAAGTTATCTATTGAACCACTAATTGTAAAAAATTCAAAAAAATATATTTTACGCATCACACTTTTGGCTACAACTTTGCCACAGACAAAACCTCTCTAACCCAAAAATAAACAAAAATCTCGCATGCTAACTTTTTCATGTTAGAAATCACGATTTAAAACTATTTCACCATACATATCAATTTTTATTAATTAGATCGGTAAATAGTTTAAAGTTCCAACAAAATAGTCATCGAGTAGGACTAACCAAGAAGCTCTGTACCAATTTTCAAAATTTTAGCACAACTTTAGGTACACCAAAACGCGAAATTATTGAAGTGATGCGTCGAGAGGACTATCGTTGTTTTTAACAGATTATACTTTTGACCTTCCGGCACTGTTGACTCAGCGAAACTGAACTTATATTTTATCTTATTTCGTTATATTAAAACTGCTGTTGCATTAGGTCAAATTCCCAATAAGTCAATTGCTTTAACATAGACCACGTTTTTAGCTCGGACTGTACTATTTGACTTACTGGGATTTTTGATCTACAGACACTGCAAACATTGTAGTTTTTGACCTAGCGGCACAGGTATAAATTATTTGACCTTCCGGGACTGTTGACTTTCTGCAACGCGTCCTATTGAACTTATTCTACACCTTCATTTGTAGGCTTAATCTCCCAGTGTCATAATTGTATTCTCGATCTTCCGGTGGGAGCCACGTCAAGTTGGTAGGTATCCACATTCACACTATTTACAAAACCAGATATTTAGCCCATTCTGCGATGAGGCATCCTCAGCGGCAAAGCCGAGACTCATGAATACCCGACTTGATGCGGTTCACCGGAAGACTGAATTAAATTATTCTACATCCCTGTCGTAATGGTGTCAATTAAAATAACTAAGATTTATCAGCTCATTCATTTCTGAAGACAACATTATTTTACTGACAATTTTAAGTTTAATAAAATTGATTTTCATATATTAGGGTATTCAATTTTTTATTCAAATCAAACAGTGGTAAATTAGTCACTCAGAGAGTGAGCCACCAGCCACACTCACACTGTCAGTTATTGAAACTTTGATACAGTATAAATGTAACACAACAGACGCTTGTTTTCAGTAAGTGTTCTTTCGGTTTGCCTGGCTAAAACATTGTATTTGATAGACATTAGCACACTCCGACAGTGGATCAACTCATTCTCGTTGATTTTCGTTCACCTCACCTTCGACATGGGAACAGGATGTCTACTTAAGACTAGAGTGTATTAAAAACTAGGTGAACTAGTTCAGAATTTTCGTCATAATTAACAACCACTATCTGAACTGTGACTCCATACTTGATATTTGTATTATTTGGAAATGTTTAAAGTTACCTTGTTTCGACCGTACGCTGGCACCTGCAGCGTCAGACGATCACTGTCTGCCGTGTATTTGCTGGATGTTACAGCTGTTACTGTGAAGACATAAGTCGACTGTTCTTCTAAATGAGGTACTGGGCAATGATTTTTTGGGTTAGCAAGTTATACTTCATCTGAATATTAATATAGTTGATCACTAATAGTAGGTTGTTTCTGGTCATACATTGATGTTTTCGATGGATACATAACTTTAACGTGTTTATTAGGTCTACTATAGACTTTTACTTGATAGTCTTAAATTGATTTCTGAAACCACTGTTGAAAGATAATTTGCAAAACTTTTTAAAAAATATCATTTTACTACCTTTTTGATATAGCATGTAAACATTCATGAGCATACTACAGTAGATTCTCAGTCATACAACACATACGAGACATCATACAAAAATTATTTATTACTAGACATACATAATTTTAAAATCTAATATATAAAATTCTCGTGTCACAGTGTTTGTCTGCAAACTCCTCCGGAACGACTTCACCGATCGTTATGAAATTTGGTGTGTAAATTCTGTAGGTATGCGAATCGGACGTAAACTATTTCCCGTTTCGAAATTCTTAAAAGGGCTCCGCCCCAGTGGCTCTGGAGTTTCCCATGTTAACCTTATGAGAAATGGAATTAATGAATCTTAACAGCTGTTTCAATTAAACAAGTTGGTTCTGTTCTATGATGTTCAATAGCATTAAAGTTACAAGGATTACCAACAGGGTGCAGCACTATTATTTCTTTTACATTTATGACAACAGCTAATTTGCAACCAAAAGGTGAGTGAGCGTAGCGAACGAACTTCAACCTGGAGGCGAGTTAGCGTAGCGAACGAGCTAACCTGAAGGCAAGTGAGCGCAGCGAACGAGCTCCAACCTAAAGGTGAGTGAGCGTAGCGAACGAGCTCCAACCCAAAGGTGAGTGAGCGTAGCGAACGAACTTCAACCAGGACGTGATTGAGCGATGCGAACGAGATCATCTTGAAAATTAAACGTAACGGTACTTTCTTTCCATCGGTCTGTCTTAGGGGAAACCTATAACTTAGGCGATACGAAGTTCGCCGGGTCAGCTAGTCTATATATATAATACGCTAAGCCGATTTTTGTAAACAGAACTCCTCCCTCATTTTTGGACCGATTTTAATTATTAAAGTGTCAAAAAAATGACCCTAATCTGTAGTTTTGCAAAGTGTTTTTCATTTTTTGAAATTTTAATTAGTTTAAGCAGGATTTTCCATCAAAGTTGGGTTTTCTCCCATAAGATTAACATGGGGGAATCTAAATATTTAATTGGAAACTTTGTCTCCACTAATTTGAGAGAACGGCTGGGCGTAGAAACTTGGTAGAGGTGTCCAAAGAAATGTATTGGTCTGTAGATGAGTTATCCAAAGAAAAACAAAGTAAATTCCCTTAGGGATCTGCCCCAGAAGCCTTTAAAAATCCCTCCACAGATTTGTTTACATTTTATGTGGATAATCTATTCTATATATAATTCAGTTTTAAAAATCTTTGTACAACTAAATCTAGAGTTCTACTGGACCGATTTTATTAATTAATGTTGGAAAGCTTAGGTCGTGTAGATTTGCAAATAATTATGAAAGTTTGTTTTTATTATGATTTATGGTGAAAAATTTCAAAAAAACATGTTTTCCATAAGAAATACATTGAAAACGGGGTTTTTCACACTTTTTATTTGGGTGCGACTTTTAGCTGCCTTTTTTAGTGTTTCCAAGAAGTGTATGGTATCAATTTGTAGGAAATTTTATTCTCTTTCAGAATATCACCTTCCACTTTGGTCGATTTCCTCACCATTTAAAAGTTATTTGCAAAAAAGCTAAGCAACCTCCGAATTTATAATAATGAGAAAATATTGAGTTTGGGATATTTTTGTTAAACTTTGTACAACTAAATCTAGACTTCCACCGGACCGATTTTGTTAATTAATGAGTCATTGGAAAGCATTACTCATGTAGATTTGCAAATAATTATGAAAGTTTGATTTTATTTAATATTTGTGGTAGAAAAATAAAAATAACAAAAATACATTAAAAACTGTTTTTTCAGGTTTTTATTTTCAAGTTTATATTTGTAGTCAGCTTTTGGCTGCCTTTATTAAATAATTTCAAGAAATACACACAAGGTATTTGTAGGAAATTTTATCTTCTTTCAGAATATCACGTGCATTTTCTACGATTTACTCATTATTTAAAAGTTATTGTCAAATTATATAAGTGACCTCCAAATTTTTAGTTGTTAAAAATACTGAATTAGGGATATTTTTGTTAAACTTTGTACAACTAAATCTAGACTTCTACTGGACCGATTTTGTTAACTAATGTATCGTTTGAAAGCCTAATTTGTGTAGATTTGCAAATAATTATGAAAGTTTGATTTTATTAAATATTTGTGGTAAATAAAGAATAAAAAGCAAAAATACACAAAAAACTGATGTTTTTTATAGTTAATATTTTAAAATTTCAATTTATAGTTAACTTTAGGTTGCCTTTTTTGAATATTTTCAAAAAACGCCTAAGAGTACTTTGTAGCAAATTTTATTCTCTTTCAGAATATCACCTTCCACTTTGGTCGATTTCCTCACCGTTTAAGAGTTATTTGCAAAAAAGCTTAGCAACCTCCTAATTTATTGTGGTGAGAGAATATTGAATTGGAGAGATTTTTGTTAACTTTCTACAACTAAATCTACAGTTCTACTGGACCGATTTAATTAATTAATAGGTCAATAAAATCTGTGTAGATTTCCAAATAATTAGTAAAGTTTGAGTTTTATTTATTTATGGTAGTAATACGTTTACCGGTATGAATAATCTAAAAAAATTATGGTAGTAATAATGGGTTAGCCAGTATGCATCATCTGATCATAAATGGAACACATGTATTAACCTACTAGCTGTAACCCGCGGGCTTTGCCCCGTTTAACTTCTTAATAATTTTCAAGATGACCTCGTTCGCATGGCTCAATCACGTCCTGGTTGAAGTTCGTTCGCTACGCTCACTCACCTTTAGGTTGGAGCTCGTTCGCTACGCTCACTCACCTTTAGGTTGGAGCTCGTTCGCTGCGCTCACTTTCCTTCAGGTTAGCTCGTTCGCTACGCTCACTTGCCTTCAGGTTAGCTCGTTCGCTACGCTCACTCGCCTCCGGGTTGAAGTTCGTTCGCTACGCTCACTCACCTTTTGGTTGCAAATTAGCTGTTGTCATAATTGTCAAAGAAATAATAGTGCTGCACCCTGTTGGTAATCCTTGTAACTTTAATGCTATTGAACATCATAGAACAGAACCAACTTGTTTAATTGAAACAGCTGTTAAGATTCATTAATTCCATTTCTCATAAGGTTAACATGGGAAACTCCAGAGCCACTGGGGCGGAGCCCGGAAGGATTTTTGGGATAAAAATATGCCTATATGTTAATCGGGAATATGAGCTATCATCATGCCGAATTTCAGCCCAATCCGACCAGTATTTTTTGCGTTCACTTGTCACAAACATACATCCATACATCCATACATCCATCCATCCAAACTTTCACATTTATAATATTAGTAAGAAGATAGTTTAACAGCTGATTGTTTTATTGTTATTTCCTTGATTTTTCTTTGTTTAAATTTAGTTGTTTGCTATTTGAATTGGTGGTTGAGGTCCGTAAAGTGTGTTTCTAAAGTGATGTTTTTAATCTGTACCATTAATAAGTATTGGTAAGTTAAGTGATGTATGGATTTCATAACTAAAAATTATTATTTTAAACTGTCAATTATAAATTATTCAAATTTAATTTATAATTTACAGTTTAAAATAGTATTTAATATTTGTTATTTTGAAATGTTAATTATAAACTCAATATTTTACATTAGTTTAAAAATGAATAACTTTACTCTTCACTACATGGTTGGTGATGGAAACTGTTTCTTTAGAAGTGTCTCATTTGTATGCCATAAATCTCAATCCAGATACAGTGATATACGAACCACAGTAGTTGATGAAGTCGTCAATAACTGGGACTACTATTGTCCTTTGGTCGTAGGGGATAAGACATATAGACTAGAAGTAAAAAACGCGATGGAATACAGAAATTTGATGACCAAAGATGGGTAATTCACCGGTAATGTCGAAATCGAAGCTGCAGCAAGAGTTTTTGACTGCCAATTCAAAATATATGCTGAGAAATTGGATTATTTTGTAACGGTTGGTGAAGGCACAACGATCTATAAACTACGATTCTCAGGAAATGTGGATGCTGGGCATCAAGAGGATATAATCTTACCAAAATCAAAACGTGGCCGTGCATCAAAAATATAGAAAAGGTAAAACATGTTCTGGCAGACGTGAATCAACAGCTCATAAAAATAAATTGAAGAAACCAAATTATAGTATAGATAAAGATTTACTCCAAGGGGTAAAAAAGTGTTATCAAGCAATCAAAAGGATGGAGAACCAGAAAATGAAAAAGAAACAGAACAAGATAGTCTGACCAACACTTCACTCAGGGATGATGCAACTTCCTCAACCTCCTTAATTTGTGTATTGGGAATGCCAATATACAAATTAAATTTAAAAATTGGAGCTGTAATAATGTTGCTACGAAATCTTAACACAAAACGGGGGTTATGTAATGGCACACGATTCATTGTTAAAGAACTCAAGCCCAATTAAATAATTGCAGAGGTTTTAACTGGATCAGCAGCACGTGAAATTGTATTCATTCCAAGGGTTGACTTAGCACAGACGGACACAGATTTACCATTTGTTTTAAAAAGACGGCAATTTCCTTTAAAATTAGCGTTTGCTATTACAATAAACATAGCGCAAGGCCAGACATTGGATAAAGTTGGGATATACCTTTCAGCAACAGTATTCAGCCATGGACAATTAATTGTATGTTGCAATATCAAGGGTTAAAAGGTTTGAAGACATAAAAATTAAAATTATCCCTGGCAAAGAACAAGGAAGATTATTAAAACAATCACATGAAGTCTTTACAAAGAATGTTGTTTACAAAGAAATACTGTAAATAAAATATTTTTGTAAAATTGTATTTGTTTTTCATTATTTTACTCTTTTAGAAAATCAGTTTATTTTCTAAACAATTTCATTCTTTAAAAAATGTTCAGGTACTTACAAGGGCATATATTATGTACTACTGTACTTTCTAGGGACCGTTGTATTTATTAACTACAACGGGCTCTGTTGCTAGTACTTTTTAATAAAACAGCTGTTAATTTTAAAATTTTATTTTAAACAACACGCATTTATTTGGAGTTTCTTAATTGTCCAAAATAAGTATTTGCAATGTTATTTTCTGATTTTAAAATTGATTTTCTTCTGTATCATGTCATGTTCTTGCAATATAACGTTCCATTACTAAATCAGTGGAAAATCCTTTATCACAGTAACTCTTACAATTATTTCTTATTGAACTATCTTATATCTATTGTACGGGTTGGTGTCTGCCTTTTTCACCACTTTTGGCTATATTCATCATATTATTCTACACAGATCATCTCATGAGATTATTGTCATACATGTTTTCAATCATTGGAAAAATCTCCGATTGTGTAATACAATACAAAATAATACAAGTGCAGAAGTGTCTTATTAGCTTTAAAACCCCACAACCAATTTCTCAAAACTAGAGGGTTATTCATTGGCACAAAATTACGATATGAACTGACGCGACATGACGAAGGAAAATCAAACTTACACAGTAACGGATGAACCTCCCTTAGAAATTATAACGTGTCTTCTCAACAAACAGATATTTTTTCTCAAATAAAATCATAGATTAATCTTTATGGCTTGAATTATCTTTATCACTGATTATCTTTATCACTGATGAAATCGCGGAAGTCTTTAACTACAACAAATCCACCAATACGATTTTAATACTAATTAAAGGTTCAATACAATTAATATCATTATTGTTTTTACACTTATTACTATTTAAACAATGCTAAATGCTCAAAGAATGTATAATTTCACTCAATTTATTGCAGTTAGATGAATTAGCGTAAGCCTTGAAAGTCCCCGTCGATTTCGACGGTTTTCACCTAGTTCCTAATAATTCCTCAGATAAAAGTATCACAACCATGCAAAATGCACCCATTTCATATGCAAGAATTATTTATGGTTTTCCCTTTTGCCACTCATTGAAGAAGTTTTATGCCATCGTAAGAGATATTTTCACACATCACATTTCCAACATCAAACTTATTTTCTTAACCTAATGTACCTGTTTAGTTGCTCCGTAAACTATTTTTTTTTACAGATGGAAGTACCAGTAGTTATGCATGCGTTTTCTCTCGCAATCACAAGACGTATTTCCAATTGCAGGAAGGTTCAAATGAGATTCTTATCAAGAATTTTAAATAAAAAACGAAGTATAACATCTTGCACATTTATCTTACTCTCAACAAAGTGGTCTGTAGTTTCCATAGTCTCAGCCAACTGCTGGTTCCCGTGTCTGTACCATCGGACTATGTAGTGTGAGAGGATGTCTACACCCATGGCAGGTGGGTCCCATTCCACCCGATACCCGTCGGGTGATAGGTCCACCCGCACATTCTCGGGACGGGAGATCTGTTGGAATGGCTCTGAGGATAAAAAATACCATTTGTTACAGAAAATCCAAGTTTTTAAAATATTGTAATGGGCCAAAACACTTCTACTAGCGACTACTTAACTTCTTCGCTTAGTTTGACTACTTGGGGTTAGTGGTGATTAACATGAACTTATGATAATGGGTTGCCACCTGATTATTGATGACAATTGATATTTTATGAATGGTCTTCTATTTTATGATTGCACAACTAGAATTCTTAATAATTGAAGCTAAATAAATCAAATGTTTACAGAGCTTAAAATATTTTCTTACCAATAGGTGCGTTAGTAGGGGTGTGCCACGGCTGTGGACTGGCAGGACTATCGACAACGATCCCTGGCGCTGGAGCTGATGAAAGTTAAAAAAAAATTAAACAAACCAGAAAGCTTTTGAACTAGTTCGGTAGTAAATATAATTAACATTATTTATAAACTCTATGGTTATAAGAAACTCTTAAAGCTAGTAGTGTTTTCTACCTAAGATGAGAAATCTAAGTTTTTGATTGTCTATTTAATGTAGAGCAGATCTCTCTGCGTACAAAGTTGAAGAAAAGCTCAATTTTTCGGTAATTTCTACAAACATTTAGACTTGTAGTGGTTTTTGTTCAAACAAGTCTCACATGATTACTATTACTAAGTACTATTTACACCCAGACTATTTGTTGTAACTGTACTGTGTTGAATCCTTTAACCCTTGTTTTACTCTGGGAATGGGAAAAGCTGCGGTTGAATATTGAATGATCTTTACCGTACTCATAAGCTGGGTGTAAAAAGGTGGTGTTAACCAGGTGATAATTTTCTTATCAATCTTGCAACTTAGAGTAGGAGTTATACGCAATATCAGCATAACTACCAATCCAAAGCTGCATTCCACTTTTGCCCCAATAGCCAAACACGCCCATGTGGACTGTAGATTGCGTCAACTGATTTATTAGTATTTTACACCAAACCTAACATCAGAGTGACTTACTATCAACATTATATCAATGAGAATGTTAATTATTTTCACTGAACAAACCTCATTCTTCATTGATACACCCTTACCTTTAGTCCTGGCACGGAAAGCCTTACTGAACATACCGTCGCCCTGGGTATCTTGACTCAATACCATCAGCTCATACTCTCGCCCCGGCAGTAGGTTGCTGATGGTCGCCTCTGTGGAGCCCCGGGACTGTAGCCTCATGGTACGCCACTCTGGCACGTCAGAGGGTCGATACCTGAACCATTAAAATATTTTATAAAACTTGTAATAATTATCTTGCTCCATAAAAACAAGTTTTTATATTCCGTTCCAATGCCAGTGGAACTTTGATAAAGAATATGCAACACACTTAAGGGCTACAATACCCGTTCAGGCTCTTCCTTGCTCGGTACTAGTGTATTTCAGCCCCACCATTCCAGAACTAAAAGCACACGCTTGTTCCATAAGCATGTTTTCTCTGTGCTTCTGATTGTTGTTGAGGGCATCTTAGGGATCACAAGATTTTCATGCACTTCGTTATGCCTATGCCGGTACCAATTGTAGTATCTTCACTTTCTTTAATTAAAAAATTTGTTTCTCACCAAAATCAGTAGGTTGGTCAATTTTAATTTCAAGCAATGGAAGAAACTATGAGTCAGTTTGCTCCAACAATTTTTTTATTCAAGCACTCTTTATACCCACCAAATGCTGTACTCGGTGTTGGCTCGGCCGCCAGCTGCCAGCCACCGTACTGTGATGCTGGTAGTGGTAGACTCAGAAGTGAGGTTATGTGGAGGTCTTGGAGCCGTGTTCTCCACCATGATCTCAGTCTCCGTTGTGATGGTGGCAGCTTCATTGCTAGCCACACACTGGTACAGTCCACTGTCACTCTCTTGGATGTTAGTCACTGTCAGGTTGCCTCCTGTCACAAACGCTCGCCCAGTTGGCAACGGTGTTCCGTCTTTCTAGAATCATTTTGATGGTTCAAAGTGGCACCTTCTTTTAAACTCTTAAAAGCTCTGTGTTACATAGAGAAAATAGAGAGAGAGAGCCCTTTTGAGGCTTGATGAAGTACAAGGTGAGGCATAATAACGAGCGATTTTAAAAAGCGCGCGAACCAAGCTGCGTTGGAGGGAGGTGGAGGGGATAGCATCAGTTACGTTTGGCGCGAAATAGCATTTAGTCACAATGGAGCGCTGGACCCCACAGCATCGTGCGTACGCTGTCAAAGCCTTTTATCAAAACGGTAGTTCATACCAGTTAGCACGTCGTGCATTCCGCAACCATTTCAACATTAATCGGAATCAGCCGGTGCCATCTGCCTGTGCGATTAAAAATTGGGTTAAGAACTTTGAAGAGACTGCGTCAACGACAAGGAAGAAAACAGGAAGACCGAAAACTGTGCGCACACCTGAAAACGTTGAACGTGTAAGAGTCGCCATTGACAGAAGCCCTCGTCGCTCAGCTCGCCGACACAGCGTTACACTTGGGATTTCAAACCGAACGGTAAGACGAATTTTACACCAAGATTTGCACTTCCACCCGTACAAAATCCAAATGGTTCAGGCCCTAAAGGAAACGGATTTTGTAAGCAGAAGCCGGTTCAGCTTAGAATTTTTGGATTTGATTAATGAAGACGAGGACATTGTAAACCGTTTGTGGATGAGTGATGAAGCGCACTTCCATCTCTCAGGTTATGTTAACAAGCAAAACTTTCGATTTTGGAGTGATGTTAACCCTAGAGAACTGCATCAGCAGCCATTGCATTCCAAAAAAGTAACTGTGTGGTGCGCCATGTCTTCATTAGGGATCATAGGGCCATACTTCTTTGAAGATGGCCAAGGCAATGCGGTGACAGTGACTTCGCAGAGATACGCAGAGATGTTGGACAACTTTTTTACTCCACAACTTGGACAGTACGAAGTGAACGATGAAATGTTTTTCCAGCAAGACGGAGCAACATCCCACACTGCTCGAGTAAGCATGCATATTGTCAATCAGTTGTTTCCAAATTGTGTGATCTCCCGAAATGGAGATATTGCATGGCCCTCTCGTTCACCTGACCTCACAGCATGTGATTTTTTCTTGTGGGGTTATCTGAAAAGTAAGGTTTACCAAGGTAATCCTCCTAGAACAATTGAAGCCCTGAAAGAGCGGATCCGGCAGGAAGTTGGTCAAATCCCACTGGCAATGCTACGAAATGTGATGAGTCACTTCAAGGTCCGGCTGGAGGAATGTGTACGTTTAAACGGACGCCATCTTACTGGAGTTATTTTCAAGAAATAACTGACATTTTACTGTTGCAGAAAATGCTTTTTCATGTTTTTTAATATTGTGGAATAAAAATAATTTTTTAACAAAGGGTTTTTATTTAACAGTATTTTTAAAATCGCTTGTTATTATGCCTCACCTTGTAGTTTTTGTACAAAAATTGGTCCTCCGACCTTTCTCATTGTCATTGATTATTTCACTATACAATTTACTTTACTTACTTACTCCCATGGCTATGCTTATCAAAGGATATATTTAGCCGCACCAACAACATCACTTTATAAATTGTTATTGATGGATGATAAAATTAGCAAAACAAGGTCTTTACTTTAATACTTTACTTAACTTTCTTTTAAATGGCAACCATACAAAGTATATTTTAAGCCAAGTATGAATGGAGATGAGTGTAGGATGAGTGGTGCGATCTTGTAGTCTTGTTAGTGAATAAGGCCGACATTCCTTAGACACAGCTGTTAATTAATAGTCCATACAGCTAATGGCAACTAAGGAACCTACAGTTTATAGTGGAATCCGAACCACATTTTTACCTTGGTATATACTAATTGGTCTAATTATCAGGATAGTACTGCGGATAGTCGTAGTACCCACTCGTGCGGACGTTAATCCACACCAGCCACCATGTCAATCCGTCCCAGTCATCTTAGTATATTCAGTATGAGAAGCTTCCTTTGGAGTTGGACCCTGATTCATTCTCTTCTCATTACGACATGGAAACCGAACTTGAATACCTATAGTACGGCTGATCTCTTTGATTTTCCAGTTATCAGTACCTGGGCAATTGGCATATCACCGGGGTAAAAACTGGATGGATTGAGGTAAAAAAACTTACCCTCTGAGGTTTGATGGTTTTAAATCCATATTTAACCCCTGAGCTGCCCCTGGACCCCTGGACATAATGCAAGACTAACTGGCCTTAACTCTCCCAGACAGCTTAAATAGTTTGTTCAGGACATGTTTCAGTGTAAAACACCATCCTCAGCTTCAGGAACTAAAGTTCTTCAGTTGGAACGTCGTCAAACTATGGGTGTTCGAGCTGTCTGTAAACGAAGGTCTTTAACATGTGATTTCTCCCCAAACACCTGACTTTGAAAAATTTTCCAACAATGAATTTAAATCTCAGGACTATGAGAATCCTAACCCAACCAGAAAAAAAAACAAAAAAGTCTGGTTATTATCGAACGATATAGACTTAAACTTAGACTTAGACTTATATTGGGTTCAAATAAATTGACTCTCACCTTAAACCAGACTATGGTTGGGCGATGTGTGCCGTCGCCATCCAAGGCGTCACAAGGTATCTCAATGCTGTCTCCTACCTTGCGCAGGTAGAGGTTCTGGGGTGTAACTGTAAACACCGGGGGTCGTTGCACTACAACGTGTATGGGGGGTGACGGGCCATCAGTGCCTAGGGAGTTGAACGGAGTGCAAGTGTACTCCCCGGAATGTGTCTCATCTACCTGAAGAAAATTATTCTTAATTAAAAATATACATGTTTGTGATATGAAGTAATAATAGTTGAAATGTATTTCACTTACAAAAATATAACCGGGTGATTAAAGAATTTAGATACTGATGGATAAACTTAGATTGAACGATAGATGTAGATAGATAATTAAGAGAGAAAAACTAGATGATGTTTTTAGTGGACTGTATTTCTTTAAACTGAACAAAAAGTAAACATGATATAAAATAAGACCAGCTGTTAGAAACAGTGAATTAGAAAAAATAACTTTAAACATTCTCCCCCCCATTGCACCGAAGGAGCAATAAATATTAATCACTGACTTCAATTGGAAGAGGACAAAGCTTGACTATTGGTCTTTTCAATGAGGTACTTGATGTTCTCAGAGTGGCTACTCGGGTAAGTCCATCACGACCTGGATGAAGTTCAGTCACTCTTGCTAGCGGCCACTTTGATGGTGGTAATTGCTCATCAACAACAAGAACAACTGATCCGAGTTTTATTGAACAGGAAGGAAATCTCCATTTGTATATTGCTTGAAGTTGTTGAAGGTACTCCCGAGACCACTTCTTCCAAAATGATTCCAACATTTGGCGAGTTAATTTCCATCGAGTAAGTCTTGATGTGGGTTGGTTTTCTTGATTAGGTTCTGGGATAGTAGTTAAAGATTCGCCAACTAAAAAGTGCGCAGGGGTTAGGATTGCTAGATCGTCTGGATCTTCTGTAAGCTGGCAGAGAGGGCGAGAATTGAGTACAGCTTCTATTTGTACCAGCACTGTCGAAAATTCTTCGTAAGTTAGTAGGTGGGTCTTCATAACTCTTTTGAGATGGTATTTAACTGATTTAACACCAGCTTCCCAATGACCTCCAAAATGTGGAGCAGCAGGAGGGTTGAATTTCCATTCAGTTCCATCATTAGCAAGCAGGGATTTGAGTTGACCTGATTCTGCTGAAGACGATGAAAACAACCTTTTCAGTTCTTTGTCAGCTCCTACAAATGTTGTCCCGCAGTCACTCGTTAAAGTAGCACAGATGCCTCGACGGCTGGTGAATCGTTTGTAAGCCGCTATGAAGGCTTCTGCTGAGTAGTTGGAAACCAACTCTAGATGAATAGCTGAGGTCGCCGAGCAGATGAACACCGCAATATAACCTTTGTAGGTTTTTGCTCTCTTTCCATGCCATGTTTTGATTACAAAAGGGCCTGCGTAATCTACACCAGAGTGCAAAAAGGGACGTGATGGTGATGTTCTTGTAGGAGGAAGCTGCCCCATTAATTGTTGAGCTCTTTGAGAGCGATAACGAGCACAAGTAACACACTTTAACAGTTCTCGTTTGACGATAGGTCTACCTCCAACAACCCAGAACTTCTGACGAACGGTTGCAAGTGTACAACGGGTGCCACTATGCAGAGTCCTGAGATGAGCATCATCTATCAATAGTTTTGAGAACTTAGAATTCTTCTGAAGGATATAAGGATGCTTTGAATCATATTCTAATGAAGATTGTTCAAGTCTGCCTCCAACTCTCATTAAACCAGTGTTATCGACAAAGGGGTTAAGACTTATAAGATTAGATTTTTCTAAAGGTCTGTTGTTTTGTAACCGCGCAAGCTCATTTTTGAAGGCATGTTTTTGAATGAGTTTTACCCACAACAAAAGGGATGAGTTGAGATCTTGAGGAGTTAAAAAAGATTGACAATTAGTAGGGATGGATTTTTTTGTTTTGGCAATGAACTTTTGACACCAGGCAGTAACACGTAATAGTTTTGACAGTGTTGAGAAGCGCTCTAGCATTTCTGGTTCTGGTTCAAAGTTTAAAATGTGGCAAGTTGATTGAGGGATTCGCAGTTCAGATTTCGCTGCTTGAGCTGGATCAAACGTCGTGGATGGCCATTCATAAACATCTTTATTCAGCCACGGAGGACCCGTCCACCAAAGCTTATGGTTGCTAAGGATTTTAGCAGTAACACCTCGTGAAGCACAGTCGGCTGGATTTTCATTTCCTGCTACATACCTCCACTTAGCGAGCGGTTCTGTCTCTTGTATAACACTTACTCTGTTACGCACAAAGTCTTTCCATTTTGAAGGTTGATTTGTGATCCAGGTTAGGGAAACCATAGAGTCAGTCCATAACCATGCTTGGGTAGATTCTAAGTTGAGCATTTTCCGAACATACTTTACAAGTTTTACTAATAGTGTAGCAGCAGTGAGTTCCAGTCGAGGAATCGACATTGTCTTGAGAGGAGCTACTTTAGTTTTAGAAATAACTAAACTAACAGTGATATTTTCACGATTAACGATTCTTAGGTAGACTACAGCACTCATTGCAAGCTTAGAAGCATCTGAAAATCCATGAATTTCTACCGAAGATAGTTGGGTAAGACCAATATAACGAGGTACTTTAACTAATGGCAAATATTGTAGGTCAGCTTCAAGGAGTTTCCATTGGTCTTGCAAGTGATTAGGTAAAAGTTGGTCCCAATGAATTTTTACTAGCCAAAGTTGTTGCATGAAGTGTTTGAACCTTATGATAATAGGAGAGACAAAACCCAAGGGATCGAATAACTGACCTATTTGAGAAAGAACGTTTCTTTTCGTGCATTTGTCTTTTGGACTTAGAGTAGGAAGAAACTGAAAATCGTCGCTGAATCGATTCCATGTAAGTCCAAGAGTACGTATACTGGAGGATTTGTTTATCAATAAGGAATTGCCTTTTTCGCAATTACTTTCCGATATGTATGATAGTACATTTTGATCATTGCTGATCCACTTCTGTAAAGGAAAACAACCTAATTTGCAAAGCTCGTCAGTCTGTTTTACTACTTCTCTGCACTCTTCAATCGAGTCTGCACCACCAAAAATGTCATCCATATATCTCCCTCTTGTCAACATTTCACTAGCTTGGGGATATGCATCACCGTGATCGACGATAAGCTGATTCATTGTTCTTAGGGCGAGAAAAGGAGCGCATGATAACCCATATGTAACAGTCTGTAGTTGAAATTTTCTAAGATGACCATTTTCCATCCAGAGAATTCTTTGAAGATCTCGATCACTGGGATGTACTAGAATCTGGCGATACATTTTCTCGATATCAGTGGCAAATACGAATTTATAGCGCCTAAACCAAGTGAGAATATCAGGTAGTTCTGTTTGGAGTTTTGGACCACTGTAGAGTACGTCATTCAAAGATAATCCTGAACTAGTTGGGAATGAGGCATTAAAAACTACTCTTAATTTAGTCGTCGTGCTAGAAGGACGCAAAACACCATGATGAGGTAGGTAATATATGGGAATGGTAGAATCTATTTCTTCAATAGTTTCAGACATGTGACCAAGGTCCTTGTATTCTTCTATGAAATTAGTATACAAGTTTTTGTACTCAAGATCGTTTGAGAGACGAGTATTTAGCTTTGTTAAAATTTGAAAGGCTGACGATTGAGATTCTCCAAGCTGATTGACTGTTTCCTTCAGGGGAAGTCGGACTTGATAGCGACCGGAAGGTTCTCTAGAAAAGGTTGATTGATAATGTTCCTCACATACTTGATCATCAGGAGACTTGACTGATTCTTTAATTTGAGGAATTTCTTCCTGTACCCAAAATTTTTGAAGAAAATCATCAAGTTTGTTTTCAATCAAGCAATGAAACATTGATGAGGTAGATTTATTTTCCGTCATTCCAGTAGGTCCAGACAAGATCCAACCGAAAATTGTTGCTTGTGCTACTGGGGAGAGGGGTGGACCTTTAATTAGACCAGGAAGGATAATAGACGTGTAGATGTCTGCTCCTAGGACTAATTCTACAGATTCAGACTTCATGAAGGCAGGATCAGCTAGTTGAAGTCCCTTTATATGATTCCACGATGAATGATTTGGTGTTATCGATGGCAAATTTGATGTGAGATTTGAAAGGATGTGACAACATAAAGAGCAGCTAACTTTGGTATCATACAGAGAACTAAGATTGATTGAAACTATCCCACGAGTGGTTGGGGCTTGATGTCCACCGATACCAACAAGAGATACTGAGGAGTATGAACGCTTCAGATTGAGAGTTTGTACTAAGTATTCACTGATGAAAGAGATTTCAGATCCTTGGTCGATTAAAGCTCTGGCAATAACACTATTTCCCTCAGGACCAATTACCTTAACTTGAGCGGTTGCTAGGAGCACAGATTGTCGATTAATTTCCTTAAATGGAAGCATGTGATTAGAGGAGACGTGTGAGCTTGATGATGTGTTATCTGTAGATGAGATGAATTTGTTAGGGATGAGAGAACTTGACTTTTTTATATGAGGTATATTTGTAGTCTGGCTAACAGCGTCATGAATTAGAGTGTGATGTCTTTTCTTACATTGTAAACAAGATTTATTTGAGCGACAGTCCTTTAACAAATGTGAACCAAGACAGTTGAAACATAATCTTTTGTTCACAAGAACCTCTTTTCGTTGACTAGGTACTTTTTCACGAAACTCCTTGCAAAATGCTAAATAGTGATCTTTACTACACAGTTGACAATCATTTCCTATATTGGACTGAGATTTTGCTACAATTTGTGCTGAATGTACTTTAAGATTTTGATGAGGTTTACCTTTACATTGTAGTGTAGTTACCGTTACATCGCTTGGTGGTGTTGCTCGTGACTCAATACTTTCCAGGGCTCGAATACGACCTTCGATGAAGGTCTGAAGATCTTCTAGGGTGGAGGGTTCTGTTGAGACTCCGTAACGAATCTCCCATGCTTCGTGTGTCTCTGGGTCTAGTCGTTGTACAATCATGTACACCAAGATGTGATCCCATTTATCTGTAGGAGATCCTAGCGCTTTGAGGGAACCTAAAGACTCATTGATAGTAGACATGAGGTGATTGAGACCACTAGCAGATTTATTTTCTAGAGGTTTTAAATTAAATATATCATCCAAATGCCTTTTGATTAAAACACGTTTGTTTTCATATCTAGTCACAAGTTTTTCCCAAGCTGGCATGAAATTTTCTCCTGTTATTTGGAAATTTGTTAGCAATTGAGCAGCATCACCAGACAAACTGGTTTTTAGATAGTGTAACTTAGCTACATCAGTTAAGTTAGGATTTTGGATCACCAGTGAAGAAAAAAGATCATGGAAAGGTTTCCAAGACTGGTAACTTCCTGAGAATTGAGGTAGAGATATTTTAGGTAGTATAGGTTGATTTGATTTACTCATAGAACTAGATGTATTGATATCAGATGTGCTTTGATTTTGTTGAGAATTTACCGATAACTCTTCTAAGAGAACAAGCAATGCAGATTTGCTTACCATATAGGCTTCAAGGGCTTGACTGTAGTGATCTTCATTTATGTAGGCTAGGTCTTTTAGTATGTCAGCTTTTGACTCACATATTTTCTCGTGATCCCTCTCGAATTTCCTCCATTCTGCTTCGATAACATCAATCCGGGTTTGTACTTGAGGCTTCAATATAGTTGTTATATCCTTTTCCTTGAAATAGTCTGTGGCTTTTTCTAAGATTTTTAAGCGTGTTGCTTGAAGACCTAGTTTGGATTCTAGGGACATAACTTCAACTGAGAACAGGAAATTTTCTTGATTACTTTTATAACTGAATTGAAAAAATAACTGTTAATTACTTATTTATTCCGGGTCAGAAGGACCAAATGATTAAAGAATTTAGATACTGATGGATAAACTTAGATTGAACGATAGATGTAGATAGATAATTAAGAGAGAAAAACTAGATGATGTTTTTAGTGGACTGTATTTCTTTAAACTGAACAAAAAGTAAACATGATATAAAATAAGACCAGCTGTTAGAAACAGTGAATTAGAAAAAATAACTTTAAACACCGGGAATGATGTACGGTAGTATATTTGTGTCTGAATTGATAAATATGTGACCTTTTTTGTTTTGTTAAAATAAATATTTGTTTTGGGGGTATGGTTTGGATAAAATTGTGAGTAAGAAAGAAATTTATGAATATGTAACTCATAGAAAAGTGTTTATTGATAGAAGTATCAAGGATCTTTGATATTTCTTGTGAATAGAGAAGAAATAAAACACGGGGGGAAATTGTAAGTTTTCATTTATTATTAAAATAATATAAAATTTGTCTTGTAATCCAGCTATTTTGGAGTTCAGGAATTGTGGATATTTATAGGTAGCCTATGCACTGTTGATGCGATAATTATTGTATTTATATGATATCAGTTAGTATAATAATTTATACTGAATTAACTGTTAGTAATGCAACATTTATATTTTTTACCGTAAAGAACAAATTACCATTTAAAACGCGCCGGGTAACTGCTAGTATAAAATAAAAGAACAAAAAATACAAACCTACTTTTTCGAAGTAGAGTGATCCATTTTTACGATAGAAGACCCCTTGCACATTGAGTGGATCAAAGAGGAAACCATCTTTCTCCCATCGCAGGGTGATGAGAGGAGGATTGGCACGGAAGTGGCAGTCGAGAAGAGTCGGTCTGCCGTAGGGGAGAAACATTTCACGGGGAGAGTATACCACTTTAGCTGGATCTGGAATGTAAACATGTTATAGTATCTATTGAGTCAAAAAGTAAAAATACAGGGTGTTTCTAAAAAAAAGCTTATAGATTTTAGCTTTGTCTCACACATCCTGTATTTGAGGTATAAACTTCTAGTTTTCATTATTTGTTAGGAAAATTCAACAATTTTTATAATCAGCTGTTTTGATTAGCATCAGTACCTTCTTACATTGTTGTAGGAAGAACACAAACTAAACAGTAACATTTTGTGATGGACCCTCGAGTGAAGGCGCAGTTGTCGAGTTGTTCATTGAAACTAAGTCTCTTATTGCTGTTCAGCGTAGATTTAACAGACATAATGTCAGGATATGGGGATCTGAAAATCCCCACTTTTAAAGAAGCATACTAGGGATATTGAGAAGGTGAATGTTTGGTGCACCTTATCTAATCACTGGTTTCTGTTGCACCAAGTTTTATAAGGCCAAACTGATAGGACCTTTACTGTAAACCATAGCATCTTGTATTCAATATAAAATATCATTGGAAAAATGAGAGAGAAAGTACAATTTCAACTGTAGCCCAATCAATCAATCAATCAATCAATCTTTATTTGCCATAAGGATACATTTACATATCATTGACAAAGTTTATTTGCAGTTTTCAAACCAAGTCTTAAAATAAACAACAAAATACTCTTACAGGCCAAATATTACAATTAACATTCAACTCCATTCACATTCTTAACTAAAAATTAAAACCAAACTAAAGGACAATTTCTCCCAGTTTAAAATAATCATCCAGACTATAAAAAGGGTTCTGAAGTAGATAATTATAAAACATAGCCTTAAATTTGTTAATTGAATGAAAATTTATATTATTTTTTACTGAATTATACACTTTAATTGATAAAATTGTGTGGCAATTACTAGTTTTACTAAGACGATGGGATTCTAACAGCGCAGTATTTTTAAAACGAGTGTTGTGACTGTGATTATTAAATTGAAGATATTCAGGGTTTTTTAATATATAAACAATCAGATCATAAATGAACAAATTTACTGCAGTTTGAATTTGCAGATCTATAAAAAGAGGTTTGCAATGATGGAGGTTTGCGATGATTACGGTACTGAGGTAACTATGACAAAGTTTCTGTAGGTCCCTGTCATAGCTCTTAAAGCCCTTTTTTGGAGAATCAAAATTTCTTTTATTCTACCACTACCACCCCAAAGCACCAATCCGTATCTTATGATTGACTGGAAGTAGGCAAAATAGGCCGTCCTTACATATTTCTTAGGAACCTGATCTACCAGACGATCTAAAAGATGCACCACACGAGACAATCTTGAAGATAAATAATCGATGTGAGCATTCCATGTGAGTTGATTATCAATTTGAAGGCCCAAATATTTTACAGCTGTGCTATTATTTAGATCACTCATAGTGGGGATTTGTTTTAGTGTATAAATCATGTTTTGGGTTTTTTCTTCATTATGCAAAAATCCATTCGCATTAAACCAATTTGATGCTTTTAGCATTGTTTCATGGACAAGATTTTTTAGTTCTGTTAGGTTGGGGTTTACATGAAAAAATGTTGTATCGTCAGCATAAAGAATAGTTTGACTCTTTACTGCCAATGGAAGGTCATTAAAATAAATTAAAAATAAAAGTGGACCAAGGACTGAGCCTTGGGGAACGCCCCATTTTACATTCCTTTCTTGTGACGTATTGCCTTTAATACTTACTATTTGTTTACGATTGTTTAGGTAAGATGAAAAGAATTGTAGAGATGGCCCTCGAAACCCATAATTTTGTAATTTGTCTATAAGAATTTTAAAATCAACAATATGTGTAGGTGGCTCATTCCACTGTTCTATCTGGATAAAAGTTGGCTTAAGTGGTTCATGAGATGGCTGCTCTATCCAATAGGCAATGTCTAGATCCTCATTCTTCCCTCTCCCTTGCTCTGTGGTTGGCTGTAGCGTAACACTACTCACATGTTACATTGAGGTAAGCACTGGCCGCCTGTTTCTCCCCCATCTGGTTAACCACTTCACAGGTATACAGCCCTAAGTCAGCCATGTTGGTTTGTCTAATGGTCAAAGAGCCTTGTGGAGCCACCCAAGACCTGGCGAGCAGTTCTGGTAACTCAGACAGCAACACCCCATCCTGCAACATATATATTTTTTGAACCAAAGAAGTCTTTGGGGTTTGGATTTCTTTTTCCTTAAGTAGTGTATAATATTATGAAATACAAAATATCACCAGCGTTGTAACTAACAAAAAATACAGTACAACAGATTTTGAATTGCCACCTTTTATACAGATCAGCAATCATATTTTTACAAAGGATTTATTGTTTGCTGAATGGTTGACTTACGACTTAAGAAGAATGTCGTTATTACCTTATACCAGCTGATGGAGAAGTCTGCCTCCTTTGACACACAGGTGAGTTCCACTGCCTTTCCCTCCATGATGGTCTGATTGGTGGGAGGTATTGTGAGCAGATTACCTCCTGAAATTACCAATGTTATCAATATAAAAGAGACGTTATGTACCGTGGCCATTTTACTATTTATCTGGGTATAACCAGATCCAAGCAACCTATTTGAAGGTTTGTAAGCAACATAACAAAATTAAGTATTTTGAAGTCACTTACTATTGCCGGTAACTGTACGAGGCAATATTTTGTACTTTTTTAATTGGATTTAATATTTAGTTTTTGTTTCTTTGCACTGAGTTAGCTCGTCCTCTGCAACAATCCCCTCACATTGGTTAGACTACCTGTTGAGTTAACCCACCTAATTGAGGTAATGCAAACTATGTCTAAATTAAAAGGGCAACCTTTCACTAGTCATTCGCGTCAATCTTGCCTCCATAACATCAGCTGAGCCTTCTCAAAGCAACTTGTTTTAAAGATTCTGAGTTGAGTTGTTGCAATTGAAAAAACATGTACCCATCTTAATTCGCTTGGACGGAAATAGTGATGTAGTAGAGTTTTATTTAACATTTATGTGTTTTGAACTTTTCAAGAGGATTTAAAAAATTCACTTGTAATTGAGGTTGTCTTATTATTGAGGGTTGTGTGAACGAGGTTCTACTATAACAACCAATTCCATGCCAATAATTCATTTATGTCACCTCTCATACTCACCGTCCACAGATAGATGGAACCAGGTGCCGTTGGGTCGAGTGCTGGGTGTTCTGTTAGGGAAGTAGATGCGGCACTCGTACCATCCGGCATCCGTCTCCCTAATGGCTGTTAGGTTTATGGAGCCTTTGCCGTACACTGAACCAGCTGGCACTAAACTCACTCTCTGTTGGAATACCTCTGTGGCTGACAACACCCCGTCGTTACTTGTAAACACCGTCTGATGCTGGAACAGTTGATGTGTTTGTTACCATTTAAATCCCTGAGGATGTGTATGCATTATAAATTATGTGATTTCCATGCCGTATGTGATAATAATGACGGTAAACAATCGATTTGTGACAAGTGTTTTGTAAAAATTTGTTTATACGTTAATTGTTCTTCGTTACTTATTTTGACTTTCGACGACCTCTTCGGAGTGGATTCTATGTTCCCTCTACGCTTGATGACGACCCCATTGCCGCGTTGGAACCATCGGAACCGGTTGGCGCCCGTCGGTGACATTGATCCCAAGACGGAATAAGGTATTTTGACCTCTAGTAACGATTAAAGATGTTTCATTCAGTAAATATGGTTAACAAAGCTTTTCAATTCCGCTCTCTCCATAGCACTGAGATTACACAGGTAGTGGTAAGTATATTTTTTTAAGACAATCATTGGTCTCAGGTAAGAGACATAACTCTCGGCTTTTCAAAGAGTATATAAAATTTAAATTTTCTTTATGTAGAGGTTAGGTTAACCTTTCTTAAGATGCATGGGGTTCCAATTACACTATAAACTGTGGCTCCTTTATAGTTGTCATTGGCTGTGGACTATTAATTATCGGTCCTAAAAGGACATGTCGGGCCTAAGTCAGTAAACACTAACAGACAACAAGATCGCACCACTCATCATCTCCTTTCATACTTTGCTTAAATACCTACTTTCGTATGTATTTTACTATCGGATAAAAGTATTAAAGGTGACCACTGTGGTCTTACTTCCAACATGGTGTTGTAGAACCATCAAATAATCACTGCGAGAGTCAAAGCTTTTTACTCAGAGAAAAAGGACAGATGTTAAAATTAAAAAAATATATACTTTTATGACAAAAACGGAGAAACAAAATGTTTCTTCTAAAAAAATTAATGTAATCGACCATTTAATTTAGCATACATGGGATTTAAATTAAATCTTATCACATCCGTGGCCCTTTCCCGTCGTTAGGTAACGTTAAACGTGGATCCTACCACTCTACAATTTGGGTGAAATAGGTATTATATTATATTAGTGTTATAAGCCAATCATTGGTCTCAGGCACTCACTGCGACAGTCAATTATTAAAAAGGGTTCTTAGTTAATTAGCACGGCTTTAAATGGAGATGTACCCTTAAGTATAGGTGTATAGCTAATTTTATTTATAGGTTAAGCCAATTCTGTTTCTAAATTTGTATACTGCTTAAATTAGTTATTAGTAAATGAATAAACAAATGTGTGGATTAGACCATCGATATATAACAAACTGTTATATCAAGTCAAGTTGTGGTTATACATCGATGGATTAGACAATTCAATTTCAGCGACACGTAGTGGTGACTCGATGAACTGTTGCGAACCTGGGTAGCAGCACCTAGCTAGCGGTGATTAGGCAAACTGTTACGAATCTGTACGGCAGCAGCACCTAGCGGTGACTTACAATGGTTATATCCATTATAGCATTTCATTATTAAACTTTTTCTTATTGTCTGCTCTCTAATAATTTTTCTTTTCATTAAGTGTGGCCTAACTCAGCTGTGTTAAATATTAAATCTACTAGCCGTATACAAAAATAACGAAACAATGATGTTTATCACTATGTCATTTGTAATGTATTTTACCTAACCCGCCATGTTAAACTTCCCTATCCCAAGCGTGATGTATACAACTTCGTTACTTCTCGAGTGATGTAAAGTTGAAAAAAACTCACTCGGTGAGGTAATGAAACCCATTTAAATAACATTGAGTGCTTAACTTAAAAAATATACCTCTATGGAGCCAACGACGCTCAACGCTAGAAATCAGCTGTGCGCTTGAATTTTATTGTTAGACTATATTTTGAAGAATTTTCCTAACCTAGTTTTTGTTTGTCAATGAACGTTACTGTTAGAAGATGAGTGAAATTGATGATGAAAAATATTGTTCGTAACCTCCTGTATATTGTCGGGTAGGGTAAAATCTTGTACGTTACACGTTACGCAAGAGCGTGTTTACATCACTTAGGTAAATTATGCAACTCGCGGACCTGCGTGATGTAAAAACGCTCTTACTACGCTTGTAATATAAATAACTATTACCTAACCCGCCATGTTAAACTTCCCTATCCCAAGCGTGATGTATACACCTTCTTTACTTCACGAGTGAAGTCAAGTTTCAAAAACTCACTCGGTGAAGTAATGAAACCCATTTAAATAACATTGAATGCTCTACTTAAAAAATATACCTCTATGGAGCCAACGACGTTCAACGCTAGAAATCAGCTGTGCGCTTGAATTTTATTGTTATGCTTTAAAGAATTTTCCTATCTTACCTATCTTTTTTTTGTAAAAGAACGTTACCGTTAGAAGATTAGTGAAATGGATAATGATAAATATTGTACTTAACCCCCTGTATATAGTCGGGTTAGGTAAAATCTTGTACGTTACCGAAGTCAATGGTTACGTTACGCAAGAGCGTGTTTACATCACTTAAGTGAATTATGCAACTCGCTTCCGCCAGGGGCGGCTCCAGGATTATTTTATATCTTACTAGCTGTTGTACCCGTGCTTTGCAACGGGAAGAGGTCACAAAATAGAAACATTTTAATCTTTACATCTGTTGCATATAATAGTTACACATCCGCCAACGCTTTTAGAAACAAAATTCAACTTTTATAGCCTTAATAGAAACGTTTAAGTTATACGACTTTTAAATCTGGCAAATAGTGGATACTACCATTTTGGTTTTGATTAATTTTAAATCTTGTGTAGGCTGATATGAGAAAAACATACTTACCAAATCTTCGAATAAAACATTTGACATACATGATTTACCTTCATCTTACATATCTATTAATTGATTATTGACATTTTAAATTTCAATTTTGAAGTTGCAAAAATACTAATTATTAAATTTTAATGAACATTTTGTTAAATTTCACTCTTCTTTATATTAAATCACAAATCCTTCCATGTTCAGTTTCTTCACTCACAATAAATCATTAGCAAAACTAAGTCAGCTGTTATAAACTTTAGAAATATTGCTGTGCCTTATCAATACAGTTTTTTTTTAAATATTAAAGAAACTATATCTATAGGTACTATAATAAAATGTAAACAAATAATTGAGCATTAAAGACAGCAGACAAAACTAATATGATTATCAAAGCATCAAGGGCTAAAAAATGTAATAGCAAATACAGTATATGTTTCATTGCATCACTGATTCTACTCTACAAAAATATCAACAAACAACTTAATATACAAACTCGTTTTTTTATCAGTTCCATCGTCCATTACCTTTACATTTTCACACTTACCATTAAGTAAACATAGTAACAGATAATTCATTGATTTCAGAAACAAAAGAACACTGTGTAGACTACTGCTTAGTTTTATGATATTTTCTTGGTTTAATTTAATCAGTGGTGTGGCAAAACACAAATAATAAATGTATCAAATAAAGTAAATGTTAACTGAAAGCTATGTTAAGATAAAATAAGATTATTTTGTATTAGCATTTGATAATTAAATATAGTTACATATATACAACAGATTTTAGAAAACAAAAATCAACGTACAATTTAGTTATTGATTATATTCTTTAGTTTAATTTAAGCATAGGTTTAGCAAAATACAATAACTCAATTTACCTAAATATACATATAAAAAACAATGTGATGTGCAAGTTATGTTAAGTTAATCTAACACATGTTAAGCAGTTAGAATTTATTTAAAGTAGCCTCCAAATTCATATGAAACATATATACTACAATTTTAATACTGTTTCCATGAAAACATATCAATAACATTATTTTCATAACTTAGACGCTTTAAAAAATCCAAAGCAGAGCCGGAGTTGATACAGCAACGGTTATAGATTTTTTTTTCTATAATCATTGACATAGTTTTAGAATAAATAATCCGTGATAAAAGGTTAGATTAAAATAAACGTAGGCTACCTCATAGTTATGGAAAATATTATATTTAATTTCTTTGTATCAGCTGTCTGAAATTGTGAAATATGCAGTTTAGCAGTTCTTCTTGTTTACATTTAAATGTCAAAGCAAATGTTAACAAACATTGTTAGTGTTCTCATCACAGCCATGGAGACCAATCAATGTTTACTTTTAAATTGTTCACCTCGTAACTTTTAAAGCCAAAGGGGCAATACAAAGCCTACGGTCAGTATCGAAATGTGAATAGTCCTATAATGGTCCTTGGTATGGTAGCTATACTTTTGTATAATTTAAGCCCAGTTGGTTCAGTAGTTTTTGTACCTATTAGTAATACACATACAGACAGACACCATTAGATTTTTATATAATGAATAAATAATCCGTGATAAAAGGTTAGATTAAAATAAACGTAGGCTACCTCATAGTTATGGAAAATATTATATTTAATTTCTTTGTATCAGCTGTCTGAAATTGTGAAATATGCAGTTTAGCAGTTCTTCTTGTTTACATTTAAATGTCAAAGCAAATGTTAACAAACATTGTTAGTGTTCTCATCACAGCCATGGAGACCAATCAATGTTTACTTTTAAATTGTTCACCTCGTAACTTTTAAAGCCAAAGGGGCAATACAAAGCCTACGGTCAGTATCGAAATGTGAATAGTCCTATAATGGTCCTTGGTATGGTAGCTATACTTTTGTATAATTTAAGCCCAGTTGGTTCAGTAGTTTTTGTACCTATTAGTAATACACATACAGACAGACACCATTAGATTTTTATATAATAGTATAGATGATTCAAAACTAGCTATTGTGTTTTATTTCACTTGATAAAATCACACAACTAAAATTGTTTCTATTATTATTATACCTAACCTATTGACCTGTCCAATTCCTGCCTAGACTACGGACGGAAACTACAATTATGCAAGTAAATACCCCCACCGCAGCAAACCTGCAGACTAAGCGAATTTCCATTTGCCTGATTGGATTTACACTAAAATGCCTCTCTAAATATATCACATTTATTCCCTATTTAAATAACATTAATTTAACACGTACTTAGGTTTGCTGCAACAGGGAGGGTAAAAAGTTGTTTTTTTTTGTAAAATGTTAATAGTTTAGTATAAAATGAATGCATTTTCCAAATTTGATCAAAATATGCTCATTAACAAGCAAACTACAACAGTTTACTTGTTATATCCCAAGAATAACATGGGAATTGTAAATTTACAGTTTTTTGAAATTTTCTACGTAACCATTAGGCGCATAATAACGCTTCAAAATACTAAATTATTAGTTTTTTAAGCTCTACAAAAAGGGCTGGAAAGAAATTGTGAAATTTTGTGTTTTAAGGGTCAAAAATGGGAAAACCCTATTTTTACCCCATAAAAATGAAGGAAGTCTTCATAGTAATCAAAATGAAGCTTTATCTCGTGGTTAGGAGATGGTATGATGACACTAACAAAATAAAATGTATATTTTTTATCTCGTCTAGAAAATCTTTGTGACAAAATTGTGTTAAAGGTTATAATTATCAACCATTACTTAAGAGTTATCTACGTTCTCTCTGGCATACACAGTAAGTGACCCATTAATATTACGATGATCTGCATATAATGGACCATCTGCATCACTAGGCCTACTTCACCGCACCCTCTCGTGCCCACTTTTAATTTCCGTCAGTCGGAATTGTAATTTAAAAATAACGATTGAGCTAATTGGTAATCAAAAACATCGATGGACGCTGGATCGGAAACGTCTAGATTAAGCAACAACCATGAGGGACCATTGTTACGTACAATGGTACAATGGTTGTGTACGCCCTCAATAAAGGCTTTGTAGCCCCAAGCAGATGAACTGACGATTGTACAGTATTGTACAATGTACACCGACTAACTGTCAACTGCTGGCAAACCCCTAGTTGAACTGGTACATGCAATAAAAGCTGGGGGAATTAGTTTTATAAAAAACTAATTTGTATATATTAGATAATTTTTAAGGAGGGCTGTAATCCCTTAGAGTCCTTCGCCTGTCTCACGGACTTTACAATCATAGAATCATAAAACGCCGGTCATATACGTAAACCAATAAAAAAACATCACAGTTAAACATTATTTTGCCGGCTAAAGACAGTTTCCTGAATTTGTGGTAATTCCTCCAGACTTAATAGTCTATAATAGATTTTGCAAAAAGGCATAGGGTAATTAATAAATAATGTGTGTACGACAACTCCTTTAGATACTGTCTTATCAGATTTTGATGAAATTTGAAAAAAGGTGCGTTAACTTATTTAAATATGTTTGAATGATTTCACTATCCATTCCGCTGTCTGACTATAGTTGCTTTTTAGGGAAAAAATTGTTGTGTTTACTATATATTATTAATTTATCAAAAATAGTTGGCTCCATGAAGATTAAAATTGAAAATATATGACAATGAAGTGTTGATGAGCGCTGGACGTTGTACAGGCAATTTTTATGGAAATTAACCTAGTAATAAAATTCATTATAGATCTCACATTATCATATGAGTATTTTTATCAAAGTACCAAAGTCGAAGTAGTATTCGAACTTAAAAATGTACCTTAAACGTCGTACCATAGTCAACTTTATTGTTATCACTATGACGCGATGACTTATTGCTCTACTGTAAATGGTTTGTTTTTAATTAGCCAATTAGAGATATTGAGATATTAGATATTGAGCGTTAATTTGTAAGTGGTATTTATTAAGACAAAAATTATTAAATATTCAATAAATTAATTTAAATAGCCTATTGTTTGACGCCTCTGGTTTTGTTGCAACAGAGGTATTAACATAAAAAATAATAACGCATAAAATGGTTGACTATGGATATTGAACAAAAAAATCCAATCTTCGTATATAAAGCTATAGCCAATTTTTGACTCAAATAAATATTTTTTATCCAACCATCACTCTTAAAAAGCGCTGCTGTCGAAATTATAAATCTATTCCTTTATTGATACTTTGATGGTTGAATACGACATATTAAAAGATGCGATAGTTCACAATAAGTTATCATTTGCGTTTTTAAAGCATGGTGTATTTGAGAAAACCGGCAATTTAATCAGCGCTCTGTGTAACTACAATCATTTTGATTCACTGGCTACGAATTTTTACAATAAAATGGGATGTTTTCTTCTAAACACCTAAAATGGTCTCTGGAGTTTGAATAGTAGTATGCCTAATCAGCAAAACAGAGCCACTCTTCAAATTATCTGTTTTTTTTTTTTTTTTTAAATTATCATTAAGTCCCTTCACCTATTCCTTAAAATTGCGTGAGCACACCCTGCATAAGAAATCTTTGTTGCATGGCCAGTTTTTTAAAAACCTACCGACTCAAGAAAGATCGTCTATGGCTGCAAATCAGTCACAAATGCCCACACAACGCTGCAAGATCAAGATTATGATATCCGGGGGGGTCAATCAAACGTGGCATGCGACAGATTTGATTAGCCCGTGACAGTTTGGCAGGGGAGGAAGACAGAGAAAGAGGAGAGCGAGTGAGAGAGTGAAGTGGTCGCACATGGAAGCAGCTGATTAGGTTAGATTGACAGCGTAGGCGGGGAGAAGCGGGAAGAATAACCAAATAGGTAAATAGCTCCCGAGACACAAAAACACTTCACTCGTGGCCGCAAGCTCTTCAAGAATAATTTTACGTGGATTTTAATGGTTTGTGTAAGAAGCTGTCACAATACCTTTGGAGTGGTTGGGATATCGAAATTTGTTTGCGATGAAGTCACATTTTCAAATTTTAACTAGCCTACGTAGTCAGACAATTGTATGGTACTTGTAAACGAGACAGGTAGCAATGCCGGTACTGTATAATCTGCTATTTCTAGATTCTTTTAACAAAATTTATGCTCTTAGTCAAAAGCAGGTTTTACCCGAGTATCGTCCCATCTTCCAGACCAAACCTAGCTCCTTCGGCATATTCAACATTAGTCTATAAGTGTAAACAAAAAATGATTTTTCTACAATCGCAGGGCACATCCACCAACTTTATAGTAAACTCGGATTGCACGGTTTTGATTATCAGAAGATGACTATCATAACCTTAATCTGCTAAACATAATAAATTAGGTAGCTAAGATTAGTGGTTGAAATGGTAAAGTAAAATTCTTGTCATTGCAAAAAGGCTTGCATTTTTTAGAGTAGGTAGAGGATTTTAACAATTTTCACTGGACGGAGAGAACAATTGTGACGAAGCTCATAGCGCCGATGTTTTTGAACTTTTGTACGTAGCCTAAACGAAATTCCGCATCTTCGTGTTTTACATTTTAGTAAACTTGGTTTTAGAGGGTACCAGTTCGAGGTTGCTACGGCTGGTCTTGTTTGAATGCATGGTCGTCACCAGACTAGTCATGGTGGTCAGGAATGTGTATATCGCGGCTCTAGAAGGCACACAGTAGCCAAACGGCTCCAGCAGGAAGTTGTTCTTCAACACGGAATTTCTGTAGTCTTCGTAACTGATTACTCCATCCATGTCGACGTCCATTTTCTTCACGAGAGTTTCTATCAAGTCCAACAAGAGTTCTTTGCTCTCGTCGTCACGAAAGTTATTCTTGAGCGCGATCAGCATGAAGTCTTTCCTCAGCATTCCGTCGCCCATCATGTCGTAGACGGTGAAGCAGTATTTGATCTTCTCCTCGAGAGTGCCGCGGCAGATGACGGACAGCCCGAGCACCCAAGACTCCATCGTTAGCTCCGTTTTATTCGCAGCATCTCCAAAGACGGAGTATATCCTCTCTATCAACACGTCGTTGGAATAGTCAAACAACTTGAACATGACGTCCCTGAAGTATTTGCGGTCCATGGGTCTTCTCTTGGTCAGTTTGTAGTAAACGATCAACAGAGCCTCCGCCTCGTCCTTGGAAAAGTGAATTTTTGGAAGAGTTTTCTTTATTACATGTTGAAATTTTACTTTACATCTTATCTCCTCACGCGAGTCTAAAGTCAAATCCAACCTTGAGAAACCCATAGACTAGAAATTATGCACGCGTAGTGTTTCCGAATGTTGCTTTTGATGGGGACGTAAAATGTCAGTGTTGTGTTGTTGTTGTTGTTGTTCAGCTGTTTTATGTATTTCTCATGAAAGTTCGGTATTACCACAAGTCAAATAGGAATAAAATACCCCCGCAGCAGCAAACCTGTATACTAAGCGAATTTCCATTTGTCTGAGTTGATTTTTAATTAAATCTATTTAAATAACATAAGATTGAGTAGGTTTGCTTCTACAAGGAAACTAATAAAATGTAATTTTTAGTAAAATATTCCTAGCTTATTATAAAATAAATAAGTTTTCCAAGTTTTATCAAAATATATCCATGAACAAGCAAACAACAACATTTTACAATATTCTCCATAAGAATAACATGGGAATTTTAAATTTACAATTTTTTGAATTGTCTCCGTTACCAATAACCGTACAAAAACACTATAATATACTAAATTATTTGTTTTTTTAAGCTCTTTAAAAAGATCTAGAGAGAAATTGGGGAATTTTGTATTTTGAGGGTCAAAAATGAGAAAAACCATTTTTTACTTTATAAAACCCCCCGTAAAATCCCGTTCCCATGGTCCGATCATGCTGGTTCGCGGACTCATTCAAGTTTATCCAGCGTTACACCTTTAAACCAAATTTCATCAAAATTGGACAAAAATTACTCAAGTTATCACGTTCACGGACGTATATATATATATATATATATATATACATACATATATAAAAATTTTAACGAATGGTGTTTTTAGCCTCTGGGGACATCAAAATGAAAAAGTAAACCGGTCCCGGGCCTAGGTCTTACCGTGCCACCTACGGTAATAGCTACTTCCCTATAGGGAAATTCGCTAAAAACATACTGAGATAGGTTTGTTTTTAAGTCTTTGACTCTACGGTAGCTATCTACCAATTGCAATAACTTTCTCATGGTTATACAGGGGTTTGGGGGTGGATTTAGCCACAGCAAACATGTGTAAGTCTGAGCATGTAGGAGAGGGCGAGTGCACTTGTGGTAATAGACAACTGTAATTACTATGACTGACTGACTGACAACCCCTCATTAAGTAATTTGATAATATGAAATTAAGTGTTGTCAATTGAACAAATAAAGCGTGCTGGTGGTAGGATTACTCTAGAAAGGTCGCAATTTATTAACTTATTGCTCCCGAATGCAATCGTGAAATGTAGTGAAGTGTTGTGAACTTTATCACCTTTGTGGCAGCCAATCATCGTGATACAGTATTTACAATATGTTATTATTGAGAAAAAAAATACAATTCCCATCTTATTCTTATGGAAGATATTGTAAAATGTTGTAGTTTGCTTGTTTATGGATATATTTTGATCAAACTTGGCAACTTTATTCATTTTACAAAGTTTTACCAAAAACACACTTTATTAGTTTCCCTGTAGCAGCAAACCTATGTACTCGTTAAACCTAATCTATATATTAATTTGAAACTGTTTTTCTTTGTGACAGCTATTTTGAGAGAACGGCTGGGCGTAGAAACTCGGTAGAGGTGTCTAAAGAAAGGTCCCGGTCTGTAGATGAGCCATCAAAAGAGAAACATGGAGAATTCCCTCGGGGCTCTGCCCCAGTGGCCTTTAAATTCCCATCCCATGTTATTCTTATGGAGGAAAACGAGGGTTTTGTCACAGCTAATTTGAGAGAACGGCTGGGTGTAGAAACTTGGTAGGGGTGTCTAAAGAAATGTATTGGTCAGTAGGTGAGCCCTCAAAAGATAAACGATGTAAATTTCCTTGGGGCTCTGCCCCAGAGGCCTTTAAAGTTCACTCTGCAATTTTGTTTACATTTCGACCATATGGATAATTTTACACTACTTTTAATGAACCAGCTGTTAATATTAAAATTGTATGCAAAGGTCTACTGAAACTGTCAAATTTAAATGTTTACATTATTATTTATGATTTTAAATGGATTCTCCACTGCATGGCAAGTTTTTTATAGTTTCAACAAAATTATGAATTTATGATACGCTTTAAATGTTTTGTTCAAAAATCTATGCTTTATTGCTCTTAGAAAATTTTAAATTATGAAATAAGTGTGATATATCAATTTCAAAGGAACATATAACTATTCCTTATCGGGTTAGCTTATATATATTGTAAGGTTGGCACTTGCCTTTTTTTCCTACTTTCAATTATCATTTATTTTTAAATTCAAGAAAACCCTGAGACTCATTTATCAAGAAGACCTGAGATCCATTTATTGGTATACAAGTTTTTGATAATCGGGTTGAAAATTGTGTCATAGATGAGTACGTTGAGGATGAGAGCTGTGTTCAAGTTTTGGAATAGACTAACTACGGAGTCTATGGTTTTGATAAAGTAGGTGAACTAATGTCAATTCAGGTATTAAAAAAAATGTGTACACAGTTTTTACTTTGATGTACACATGTAGCTAGGTCGAACAACGCATCTAAACCTCACTACATACAACACATTCGGAAACACAACAGTGTCATCACATCTCATCGCATTTGCATAATTTGTTACCAAGGCTGGACTAGGTTATGGATTTGGTTCCGCAAATGTTCAAGATTTGTGATAAAATTTCCTACAGTTATGGTTAATTCCTATCCACGAAATACATGCACAGCTTTATGTGATCTATAAGGCCAAGGAAAAACTACCCCACAAGTTAATGAATTATCAAGTAAGAACAGGATGATTAAATACATGGGTCGATGTGGCAAGAGAAGGAATTAAAATTGCTGAGATCGAAGTAAGAATGTTACTGCTTTCTAGAGAATCAGATATTTTTATCAAACAAAAAACTGATTTAATATGCTGATAGAATTCTGTATTTTTATGACCAAAGATGAAGATTACTTATAGATCAGGATACAATCTGAATGATTTTCCTAAAGCAGATGGAATTAGTGGTTAGTAATAAAATTGACTCTTTCCGTAACATGATAGACTAATTAATTATATGAACTCATTCTCCCATATAGTGAAAGTGGCTTTGGTATGAAACAAACTCATGAACAAACAATTATAAGACTCCTAAAAAACCCTTAGGGCAACCTAAAGCCGATAAAAAGGTAGGAAATATTGAGTTAAACGAATTCATCAATCACGTTTTTTAGGAAACACAATCGTCATACTTATTAATGCTTATCCTCCCTTCATTTAACTAAGATTTTGATGACTTCACTCTATCCATCTCAGTTAGCTGAATTTACATAAAACCTCAAGATTAACCGTCGATTTCGACGGGGTTCCACTAGTGTTATTTAAATCGATTTTATCGAAAATATTCAGCAATTCAGGATGAAATGGAAATTCGCTTAGATGGTAGGTTTGCTACTGCGGGGGTATTATATAATCCTGGCCAAATAACCAGCTGATTTGTCAGTAAAGCTGTCGCCTCATTCATTCATCACTCATAGTTCACTAATGCCTTAAAATACGAACCCTGGTGTAATACTTTAAGGTGTGACGGAGTTGGACAAATCCCCCCTCCCCCTCTCAAAATCTCTAACCTTTCGTTCTATCTCCTCCGGTTTAAAGAAGACCATTTTTAACGCTAATGATGTATGACACGGTAATCACGCGTGTATCAAGTACTTAAACAGGAAGTTGTTGATCCTTCACACTAACTACGATTTATCACAACTCCTCGTCACCGTCAGGTCTGTCTGTGGATGGATGAAAATTATATTGACAGTGAATGTTGCTTGGAGTGTGGATGCCAAAGTGAATCCACTAATTTGATGATTACGGGAGAACCTGCCAGGTTTAACAATGTTATTACATGTAGTCAACAATAATATGGAAAAACCATGTGTTTGGCGTTACTGTAGATAACGCACCACTTTTATTTCAGGATTAGTTTTGCCTACAGTATCATTTGGAGGCTTCTGATTGACTATATTGAAGGTTAACTAATCGAAAAAATAGTTATGTTCATAAAATAAAATTATAAATGCCTCAAATTCAATTTTATAATGTTTTAATTATAAAATTAAACTGTCATAACCTTACCAAACCAACAAAACTTGCTGATAATGAAAAAAATGTTAGACAAAAAAAGTTAGTGCAACCAGCAGGATTCATATCCGGCCCCTTCAGATTATCAGCCCGGCACGTTATCCACTAGACCAGTGGCGGTTCCAAGGGGGGGGGGCTACAGGGGCTTAAGTTCCCCCCTTGGACCCTGGAAAAATAAATTTAAACGTACATTTCGTCCTTAAAACACGCAATGTCATAAAACAGACATCAATGTAGATTTTATTAAACTTAATAAGCGATGGCAGGAGTAGTATTAAGTTCCACATAGATCAAATTTGTGGACAATAGCACAGCAAATAAAACAATATTACACAATGGAAAGTTATAGTTCGGCCGCTTAGAAAGCGACCTCCTCCAGCATTGGTTTAACATTAGCGCGCAGGTCGTTTTCTAAGCGGCCGAACTATAGTTATACGCATCATCCAATTTTTACAGCAGTCAGCTGTTGACATGCTAGGGCAAAGGCGAGCGCCGAGCGCGCGAGCAAGGACGGGGAAACAGCTGATTTCCTGATGTTCCATAGCTGTCAAATTGTCTGCTAGCCACTAACTTTACACAGGCCACAGGCATCAATCAGCAATCAGCGGTAGCAGTAGCACCAGTAGCCTTTTACCATTTACTATATAAACACTAATGTTAAAGTTTTGTATAGTCAATGCTATTACTGGTACTGAATTCGATACTGTACATATTGTGACAGATCTATGAAATGGACAGTAGAAAACATAAGTTTGAAAAACGTATCTACTTGCTTGCGTGACATATAAACAGCATATAATAGGTGAAATGGAAGGTTTTAGGATAATTATTGAGTACAGTTCTAGCCGTTAGAAATGACCATATAAAAGTGACTAAACGGCTTATTTTTAGGAGATATGGCTTCGTAGTCTACAGTAGGCCTATGTTTTTAAATTCATGAATACAAGTTCGTCATAGTTTGATTTTTAAAATGTCTACTTACTTGCTCATGACAAAGACAAATAACAGGTGGAATGGCAGGTTTTTGGACAGTTAGACACAAATATAGACATTAATAATGGCTTTAGAAAGTCAGTAAACAGCTTTTAGGACGATATTGCCGTAGCCTACAATATGTTTTGAGATTTTATGAATGCAATCGTCATAGTTAGTTTTAAATATGTCTACTTATTCATGACAAATAAAAATGGGGAAATGGGAGGTTTTGCACACAGTTCTAGACGTTAAAACTGGCTGTAGAAAGTCACCCAACGGCTTTTTTATGAGGATATGGCCGTAGTCTACAGTGTTTTGAAATTCATGAATGCAATCGCCATGGTTAAAATTTTAAAATGTCTATTTGCTCATGACAAACAACAGGTGAAATGCGGAGTTTATGGACAATTAGGCAAGGTTTTAGGTGTTAAAAATGGCTTTAGAAAGTCACCAAACGGCTTTGAAAATTACAAATTTTCCCGGGGGAGAACCCCCGGAAGACCCCCCCTTGACAAGGTCCTAGAACCGCCACTGCACTAGACCCCCGAGGCCGATGTCGTTCCATCGTATCGTTTTGGTTATGGTGTTCCCACGGCCAATCAGAAGCCTCCAAATGACACTGTTGGCAAAACTAATCCTGAAATAAAAATACAGCGTAGACAACAACACGCAATGGGTCTCGTAGTGTTGAATGAGGTCTATTGAAAACACATACATCAGCTGTTGTTTACCTCTTTGTTCCACCGCAGCACGTAAGGTATTTCCACGTCGTGAGGGAAGTCTAGTGGACAATTGAAGACCACAGAGTCACCTACGGAGGCCGTTAGGTAGGTTGGTTTCTTCTCCTCCTCCATCTGCGCCCATGCTGCAAACAACGTCGTGTTAGAACGTGCAAATCTTGCATTTTATGACAATAAATCATCTTAATAACAGGAACCACGATTAGTAGACTAGTAAAAATAGCTTAAAATTTACCTGTACCTAGAAGTAATTGTAATATAATTTCTGTAAATGGATTTGTATGTAAAAATGGCTGGAAAAAAACGATGGTGAAAAGTCTACCACTCTACGGAGGTGCGTTGGCCTTGTATGAAAGGTTTTTCAAAATGGCTACCGTAAATATTTATGTTTTTAGCCAATAAGTCCTAAACTATTACAGGTAGCTTAAATAAGTAAATGAGTAAATTTTAAAGAATTAAATTGCGCAACTTTTGGTATATAATAAGTTACAAGTCCTTACATTCTTAAAGAAAATAATGTAGTCAGTAAATTTTAATAGTTTATTGTTATTCAGAGAAATGTTGAGTTATGGATTTTAAGTTGGCAACAATGATTGTTTTGTACCAGCTGAGAGTTCTTATTGTTGTTGTTAATATTTCTACATGTTTCTTTCTTGTTCAGTAGTGATGTTTTTAATTCAATTTCAGTGCATTTTATGAAAAAAGCTAATTTGAACTAAGCAGCAAAAAAAACCTGTGATACAAATGAGAACTGTAAAAGTAGGATTGTTTACAGTTATGATTATGTTTTTAATTTCATGAATAATTTGTGATATTTTGCCAATACTTAATAACTATTTTTCTCTATTGTGTAGGTGAAGTGGTAGAGCATTGTGACTATGGTAGATGTGTAATACTATTGCATACCGTAAATTTAAGGGAGCAAATTTTCTCAAACCGTGTCTTCTCACATTTTAAACGCAAAGATTGAGTATAACTGCAATAAGCATTTTATGTACTTATTTGCCAACCCCCACGAAGGACGGGTACTCTGCTAGTAGTATAATACTTATACTATATATATCACAAACGAGATTGTGTGGCAATGATATATTTTCAGTAAGAACGCAAAACTCGAGAACCATTTGGGCTGAAACTTTTCATAAGAGTAGGTAGTAATTTGGACAACACAAAAATGACTAATCATGTTTCGAAAATCCGATGTCTTGGGGCTCCACCCCATTGGCCATAAAATTTTAGTGTTAATTCTTATTCCAATTTATTTATTTTCATGATTACCATGGAAACTATTTATTTTTCATGACCAAGCACATGTTTAGATCAATTACCTCATAGGCACATTAAACGATATGTATACTTTAACTTCAGAAACCGCATTCTACTAGCCTGAGAAGAATACACTGTAGCCTAATGGAAATCTTCCACGTCCTTAAGCTCTCTTCATAGGAAACATTACGTTTCTTGATAACCTCAGAAAATGCCCCTGCTGGAACTACGCTAGCTATAATACCCATGCCATGGAAAGTTCCATTACCATCTAGTCTAATTATATTGTGGCCAATGTTGTCAGCAGAATATTGAATAAAACACTCAGGAGATGTGGATTGTGATCAGGCATACTTGTACCTCTATGTGCAGCAGCAGAATGGGCGACCTGGCAGAGCTTATGTCACTAATTGTTGTGGTATAGATTTTGAATGCAAACTTTTGGAAATTTAACATGGGCCTTATGGGTTAATTGGTCGCCATGTCATTATTTGCGAGTAAACACTAAAAAGTAAACAAGAGCCTCAACATTAGTCAACAAATCTACCACATGATAAATACAGTACAAAAGAAAAAATTGGATAATACTAAAGAGCATATTATAGTATATTGTATGTAATACGAAATGATTAACAATCAGTTCTATATTGAGTGATTAAACTCCATGCCGTTTATATTTAATTGTAAAACGAGAGGTCGTCCAGTGGTCGAAACTCGACCAAAAATATGTAATGTACAGACTTCTCTATTTTCTCCCCACACTGTAAATAAAACATGTGATTTGAGTTTCTTCCATTTGTTTTGATTTTCTGTTTATATTTCGTTGTTATTTCGTAACCAGCATGGCAACCCATAAAATCCATGTTAATTTTTTCAAATTTTTAAACTAATTTTTTGTGCTTATCTTTGAGCCTATTTTAATTTATAAAGGGATTGTGCACACCTACAGGAAAATAGCTTTCTAACGGTATGCGTAGATTTTCCCTACGATGCACACGAGCTGAGAAAAAAGGTTTTAAAGAAACATGCTTGCCTATTAATATATAGATGGTTCTGTTCTTTTTAACAACAATGAATAGTTAACTAATTAGGCCTAAGTTTATGTTGCTTGGAGAAGGAGAAGATAAAACGAGGTCATTAAAAAAACACTACAACATAATTATACCAACAAAAATCACACCGCCCTTGATTTGCAAGAAACTTTGTAAAAAATGTTCTTGTAGCTAAAAATACAAAATCGTTTTACGAAATGAAATCACAACCACGTGGTTTACAGGTAAGGTTTAAGACTAAATGGTGTAACTTAGACAATAAAATAGTTGTATTGATAAATTTTATTGCACAATAGGGAAATTTTGAAAGTGGTTGACGACAATTTCTTACTTTTAACTGCTAAAATAAAACTAGACCTAAGTTATAGGCCTATACTAAGTGAGGCTAACCCCAATCCCTCACAACAATAATACTGGTAAACAGTTATTGAGGTAATTGAATTGGTGAGTTTTATGAATGTTCAATGCAAATAAGTCTTCTGTACAAATAAATGATTCTTTTTTTAATAATGAAGAAAGAAGACATTGAAAAAAAAAATAAAGAAAAGCAAATTCTACATACAATGGGTAATAATAATATAATAATAATCGTTATTGCCTTTTAATAATACAGGTATTGCTTAGGCCTACCATGATTCATTTGCAGTATCGAAATTATTGAGCGGAGTGAAGCGAAGCTCTTATACTACACTCACTGCCTTTGTTTTACAAATACAGGTCAGGCTCCACCTGACAGGCTTAAGCGATCTGCAGGAAATTTGGCACAGTCATGTAATTAACCATATGGGAAGGTATAAATCTGAATAATATTCGGACCACATAGGACTTAAACCAATAATAAGGGTTGCCGGAATTAGGCTGATGCACCATATTGCGTTTGGAATCTGTAAATAACTTACAGCATTTTATGTGAGCAAGACGTGCAATTAATGTAGACTTTGAATATCTATCTGATTGGAACATGTTCAATTCCTATTTGCAGTCTACAAATAGGAATTCCACTAATGTGAACCAAATATAACACAATTCGTTGACTTGAACCCGACGTATCATTGACTTTGAATACTGCACATAGACATCCCATATAAGTGAAGCAGAAGTAGGCCTAAGCCTACCATTGACTTCGGATACTGCAATTAGGCATTTTATTTATGTGAACAAAATAAATGGACCATTGATTTATTAAGGATACTGCAAGTAGACTATTCATTTACATGTACCATTGGGTTTGGATACTACAAGTAAACAATCCGTCTACGTGAACCATATGTACTATTGACTTTAGAATCTGTAAATAGGCATTCCATTTATGCGAACCAAATATATCATTGGCATTGGATACTGCAAGTAGACATTTAATTTAGGAGAACCAGATGAAACATAGAATACGGTTCCTGCAAGTAGACGATTCATTCACTTAATCCTGACTTATGATTGACTTTGGATACCTCTGCAAATAGGCATTCTATTTAAAATGCAAAAAAATCATTGATATTGAATATGCTGGCTCCGCTCAATATTGCAAGCAGACAACTGCATTGTACACCTAGTTACATAATAATCCATTGATATAAATTATATTACAATTACTTCTAGGTTAACCAACAATTTTACTAGTCTATAGGCAATGCCACCAACAATGGAAGGGTTTGCAGAATCGTTACTAACGGCCATATTTAATATACAGGGAGGTAATAAAGTCCGAAGACGGTTAAATATTTTAAAAAATAATGTAGATAGAGCGACAATACTTGGTACAAAGTTACAGAGCATAAAACTGTATTTTAACACATATTCAGTGATCCAATAACTCTTCAGGGGAACGGTCCACAAGAAGTCGGAAGAAAATCTTAATTGGAAGCATAGGTCAATATGCACATCAAATGAAAGGTCTTTTTTAGTAGAATACAATGCCGCAAACCGCACTTCAAAAGGTTGATCCTGCGCAAAATGGCAGCCGTTCAAAAATTTCTTGAATCTGCCATTTTGAATCTTTGAACGACTGCCATTGATTGAGCTTGAATTTACGGCATTATAATCTACTAGTGAAGACCTTTAATTTGATGTGCATATCGACCTATGCTTACGTTAACAATTTTCTTCCGATTCCTAGGGCTGTGCCTCCTGAGGAGTAAGCGTATAATAATATAGATTAAGGTATCTGCAATCCTAATGATATGAGAAGGGAAGGAAACAGGTCCATGACGTAGGGAATGGTGAAGGAAGTAATAAGGCTAGCAGTGCAGAGTGTGGGAACTGTCTGTGGCAATTACATTAATGTATCTGCAATCCTAAATGCTATGGGAAGTGAGGGAAACAGGTCTACGACGAAGGGAGTGGTGAAAGATGTAGTAAAGGCGAGCAGTGTGGAGTGTGTGAATGGATTAATGTATCTGCAATACTAATATGCAATACAAGACTGCTTTCAGAGTAAACTAAATGCGAATCATCGATGTATAATAACTTATACATCGATGATGCGAAGTATGGGTGTTTGTGTATAACTCTGAAGTTCCATCACATGAAAACTACTGGACTGATTCAGCCGACATTTTCCAGAGAGGTACTGTACTTGATAGTCTTTAAAACACAGTTTTTGAGACCTTTGCACAAGCGAGCATACATACATACACGCAAACATTGTTCTTATAAGAGTATAGAAAAAATATATGCTTCTTCTAGTGATGCTGTATGGGTTGTGTGTCTTAGGCTACCACGTTTGTATCATGTTATTTCTATATTTCTGTTAATTATTTTCTTTTTAGCACTTCATTGTTATGTTACACACTTGAAGTTCGTGTAATTTTCTTTTTCCTTAAAAAACAAAACGGAACTTTAAGTTTTACTTTTTGGAGAAAATTATTGTCACCTTTATGGTTGCGTTCGGACGCCTCATGTGGAAAATGGACCATACATTTTTTATGCCGTCGGATATTTGATCTAAGGGACATGTCTAAACGATTGTAGCAAGTCAGTCAGTCAAATAGTGGTTGACTAGTTTTTGAACAACTTTTCAAGACTGAGATAATTCACTCACAGACCAAACTAACAATGTCCCCACCAATAATTAACACCGATAAATGCCGAAAACATATGGTTCAACACGGGAATTGATTGAATTGTTATTTGGTTCAAAGCAGTCCATAGCCAACTTTTGTGATCAATGCAATGATTGGACCTAAATAATACATTACTTAGGGCATTTATGCGGTTTAACAGTTAACTTCGGTTACTAAAGTAGATTAAGTTGGTGATAAAACAACATTCACGTCAATTATGGTATTTTCAAATATTCACACCATTAATATTAACACGATGACCCCATGACATGAGATGAGACGTTGACTTTTTACTCAAGGCCAATGTTAGCATGCAATTCTATGGTTAATGTACATTAATGTAGGTACTAGCTGAAACACGCGTTTTTGTTACATGTAGGCTAACTGTAATTCCACTCGACGAACCTGTAATTAACAAATGTGATGCATCGTAAATAATTTCAACTATTTTTTAAAAATCAGATTTTATTAGAGTCTACAGAATTTACAGAATTGGCTCGGTATTGCTCGTTTTCCACTTTCTGATCATATGTACAGTTGAAATAAACTTTAGTAAAGTAGTCTAGTTAGTTTAACACTTAAATAAACGATAAAAATAAAGCATATCTTCATTCAAGGAGTTAGCCTCCGGATTGCCAAATAATATTAAAAAAGTTCAATAGTAAAAAAAAAATAAAAAAGTTCAAGTTTGAGTCTGGAGTCAAACTTTGCCGGACAAGCGTCGTCTGTTTGCTTATCTGACAAGTTACCATAAATGTCTCGTATTAGTTTTTGTGTGATGTTTAAATGTCTATTTATTATTTTTCGTGTAAAAAATATGACGCTCTTCGTGTGAAGAAAGAAAACCGTCCTTGTACAACCTGATGATGGAGCCACACAGGCGGCGAAACTAGCTGTGTTTACAACAGCGTTGGATTGCTTAGTTGCTGGTATTGAACCTTTTTTAAAGCACTGATTAGATATCTACATTTCTATCCTAAGACCCGAGACCAAATCTCTCCTAAGGTGGCTATACCTATGTTACGTTACGGTAGTTGATGTTTAGACACTTTATATAGTTCTTTTAGCTTTTGTAGAAAATCACGAGCTGCATTATAATTGTAGTTTTACTGTACATGTACATTTTATAATTGTACCATTGTAAGCATGATATAAAATATATAAATTATACACTAATAGCTGTCGTTATCACTTGCATTGGAAATTTAACTTAGTTTTTATTTTTGAAGGCTATACATATGAAAGTTACTATTAGCCTACGCAGCCATGTACGCAAATGACATTCACTTGAAATAATCCAACGATGCATAGTAAATAATTCAAGTATACACAGAGAACATTATTTGAACTACAATAAACAAGTCTATTGTATTTTACAAGTGTAAATATTGAAAAAGATTACGAGTGAATTAGAAACCCTGGTTTATTTCAATAACATATGTTTTCCAACCTACTATTTAAAGACCGACTGTTATTGGTGTATGTTTCTTATTCAAACGAATTCTCCCATTTCGGTTTAGCACTTAGTGTTACCATAAAAAAATCCAAAATACTCGTAGATTAAGTTAATGTAATTTTTTTAATTTATATAATCCACTTAACTTATGACGAAAAATACCAAGTTGTGTGTAGGCCTACTAATAAATAAAAATAGTTTTTACTTTTTAACAATCACACAAAATTTGAAGGAAAAAATGTATAGAGACTTTAATTTTCAAACTATTTTAGTTGAACAGCCTTTAATACAGTTTTGAGCAGGTGTATTTAAAACTGTTATTACAATAACAGTCTATATTTATATAGTTAATACAAATCACGACCCTTTGAATGGTGAATTACACCATAACACCTATTACCTGTTAAAGACGAATTTTATCGGTATTTTTCGAATCTAGTAATTATTTACAAATGTCAAAACCAGCTGGACTCACCGGAAGAGAGGAAGAAGACGAGCAGGGTGGCGGCGGTGACCATGGCGCGAAACACACTACCCACTGCACTCCGCCTCGACCACAGTGCCCCAATAACACCACCCATTAACCAATTGTATACCGCCATTCTTGCGTCACAGCCACAGCAATACCCTGCTGCTGTTCAGTCTAGCCCGTACGGCTATTGTGCCCGTAATCACGGCCAACTGACCGTTTTTTGATCTTTCAGATAAGTTTTGAAGTTTTTGTAGTGGTCAGCTGACACCATGATTACGCCAATTTCAAGGGAGGGTTTATCGGAAGGTTTTATTGTGACAAGTGTGTTATTGTTAAGAAATTCGTCGTTATTGTTGATTTTTGTCGTGTTTCCATCAGCGTTTTGAAATCTTTGAACATTTTTTTTACTTCCTAGTTATTTTCGACAAATAATAGTAACAGCAAAAAATACATTATAATTACTCGTTTTGATTACCTAAGTAAAGTTTTCCTAAACGATAGATTCCTAAACGCGTTCCTATATCGTGATTCCTATGGGCGTTCTAACGTGATGACCCTTACTAACCTTCAAATGCTACTTATTGGTTAAATTGTAATAATGATTCATAGACTTTGAATCCTGAACTGAAAATACTCTTAAATTCTTTGAATGTTTTTCGACCTCACTCGGAGAAGCTCTCTGCTTTAAAATACCATGAGGTACGGTCTTGGCGTGATTGGTGGTTTTGTTTATTCCATTTGGAATTTTTCGTGATACTCCTGATTGTATCTGAACAACTGTGAACAGATTTGCCTATATCAATTTCTAAAGTTAAATGGTTAAAATGAACATTTAATGTACTGTATATTAAATCATTTCTTTTAAATTGCAACCCTTCAATCCCTAGGGTTGTCAAAATACAAGAGACTCTAGTCACAAAACTTGTAGTTGCATAAGCCTATTATAGTTTTTATCCACAATATGCTGCTAGAGGTGTCTTAATATTTCCTATTTCATTGGGAGTTTTTTAAAAATAATTTTCAACATTTCACTTCAATAAAAAAATGAGCTAAAACTTTTGTATGTATTGCTTACATTTAATTATTTTTTTAACCACGAGGATGAGGCAGAAGGACTTGTGAGTTATATTCTCATGTGAGGAGAAAATGTATTCTTTATATTCTAATTTCGTTCTAAACCCATAATCTGGTGTTGAAATCACTTGTAAATTACTAAATTGAACAGTTACGGTACGTGACATTTAAATCCAAATTAATCCACCGTCTTAAATTTTAACCATTCAAACTGAAATTAAAATAAACCATTGTTGATTATCATATATTTTTCGGATTGTGTGCAGCTTAAGAGACATTTACGATTTACTAAAGTTTCCATCTTTTATCCTTGAAGGGTTATTCACATAACAAATTATAATCAGCTTCCAACCACTCGTAGTGTAAATTGCAAGTGTTTTATTGTATTGCTTGTGGTGACTGGTCAAACGACATATCGGGTTTCATCACGAGCAGTGTGTTGAATGATAACATTTCAATTACAGCATTACGCCAACTTATTCAATCCATGCTAATAATTCTTTCGGTCCTCAATGCATGAAAATAGTCCAATGGTCTTGTTGAATTGCAAGGTTATAAATTTCATAACTACGAGGTGTTGAGGAACATTCACCATAACAAACTTTACTCGCTCATGAACTTACTTGGCTTAAAATACCTATTTTGTATGGTCGCCATTTCAATTAAAAGTATAAGTAAGTTAATTACTCAGCCGGTTCAGATTTGTTTATGGCCTTTATATTTCACACAGAGTTTCTCACACCGCCCCTAGACATCATTTAGGAAATAGTGTGCTCTCTTTGTGATTTAAATGTAAAATCATTGACTATTGACTATATAACACTAGAAGTGTTATAAATACACTACACTAGTTACACTAGTAGTGTTATATATAGTAGTGTTATAGTAGCGTTATGGTAAAATACAACAATAAAACCGTCGGGCTTCGAAAATGAATATGTTTCGTGGTACGAATATTGCCCAAATGGAGTAATCGCAAAGATAACCCCGAAAACTGCAAAAGTTAAGTACAGAATTTAAATTGGTGTGTTTTTATTTTTCATTACATTTATTGTTTTCGTACCTTTCCTCTTTATTGTCCAACAACAACATAAGTTGATTTATTATATGAAATACTTTAGTAAGCCTGAGTCGCAAAAGATTATTTTAACAACTATTCATTTAAAAATAATACGACATTTTTATCGGCATGTTTAGTGAGCAATTACATCGATACATGATCATAAAGTTAGCACAGTCACATTCCAAAATTGACTTAATCAATTAGCCGATAGCTCGCCACTTGACATCTGACCTTGTATGTGATGAGGATGCGAGGGCTGACCGCTGACACAGTGACACTGCCAGGTGTCAACAAAGTCTCACAGAAATTAGCTGAAACAGCTGATGAGTAAGATATAATTGATCAGCTGATAGCTCGCCACTTGACATCTGACCTTGTACGTGATGAGGATGCGAGGGCTGACCGCTGACACAGTGACACTGCCAGGTGTCAACAAAGTCTCACAGAAATTAGCTGAAACAGCTGATGAGTAAGATATAATTGATCAGCTGATAGCTCGCCACTTGACATCTGACCTTGTAAGTGATGAGGATGCGAGGGCTGACCGCTGACACAGTGACACTGCCAGGTGTCAACAAAGTCTCACAGAAGCTAGCTGAAACAGCTGATGAGTAAGATATAATTGATCAGCTGATAGCTCGCCACTTGACATCTGACCTTGTACGTGATGAGGATGCGAGGGCTGACCGCTGACACAGTGACACTGCCAGGTGTCAACAAAGTCTCACAGAAGCTAGCTGAAACAGCTGATGAGTAAGATATAATTGATCAGCTGATAGCTCGCCACTTGACATCTGACCTTGTAAGTGATGAGGATGCGAGGGCTGACCGCTGACACAGTGACACTGCCAGGTGTCAACAAAGTCTCACAGAAGCTAGCTGAAACAGCTGATGAGTAAGATATAATTGATCAGCTGATAGCTCGCCACTTGACATCTGACCTTGTACGTGATGAGGATGCGAGGGCTGACCGCTGACACAGTGACACTGCCAGGTGTCAACAAAGTCTCACAGAAATTAGCTGAAACAGCTGATGAATAAGATATAATTGATCAGCTGATAGCTCGCCACTTGACATCTGACCTTGTACGTGATGAGGATGCGAGGGCTGACCGCTGACACAGTGACACTGCCAGGTGTCAACAAAGTCTCACAGAAATTAGCTGAAACAGCTGATGAGTAAGATATAATTGATCAGCTGATAGCTCGCCACTTGACATCTGACCTTGTACGTGATGAGGATGCGAGGGCTGACCGCTGACACAGTGACACTGCCAGGTGTCAACAAAGTCTCACAGAAATTAGCTGAAACAGCTGATGAATAAGATATAATTGATCAGCTGATAGCTCGCCACTTGACATCTGACCTTGTACGTGATGAGGATGCGAGGGCTGACCGCTGACACAGTGAAACTACCAGGTGTCAACAAAGTCTCACAGAAGCTAGCTGAAACAGCTGATGAGTAAGATATAATTGATCAGCTGATAGCTCGCCACTTGACATCTGACCTTGTAAGTGATGAGGATGCGAGGGCTGTCCGCTGACACAGTGACACTGCCAGGTGTCAACAAAGTCTCACAGAAGCTAGCTGAAACAGCTGATGAGTAAGATATAATTGATCAGCTGATAGCTCGCCACTTGACATCTGACCTTGTACGTGATGAGGATGCGAGGGCTGACCGCTGACACAGTGACACTGCCAGGTGTCAACAAAGTCTCACAGAAGCTAGCTGAAACAGCTGATGAGTAAGATATAATTGATCAGCTGATAGCTCGCCACTTGACATCTGACCTTGTAAGTGATGAGGATGCGAGGGCTGACCGCTGACACAGTGACACTGCCAGGTGTCAACAAAGTCTCACAGAAGCTAGCTGAAACAGCTGATGAGTAAGATATAATTGATCAGCTGATAGCTCGCCACTTGACATCTGACCTTGTACGTGATGAGGATGCGAGGGCTGACCGCTGACACAGTGACACTGCCAGGTGTCAACAAAGTCTCACAGAAGCTAGCTGAAACAGCTGATGAGTAAGATATAATTGATCAGCTGATAGCTCGCCACTTGACATCTGACCTTGTAAGTGATGAGGATGCGAGGGCTGACCGCTGACACAGTGACACTGCCAGGTGTCAACAAAGTCTCACAGAAGCTAGCTGAAACAGCTGATGAGTAAGATATAATTGATCAGCTGATAGCTCGCCACTTGACATCTGACCTTGTACGTGATGAGGATGCGAGGGCTGACCGCTGACACAGTGACACTGCCAGGTGTCAACAAAGTCTCACAGAAATTAGCTGAAACAGCTGATGAATAAGATATAATTGATCAGCTGATAGCTCGCCACTTGACATCTGACCTTGTACGTGATGAGGATGCGAGGGCTGACCGCTGACACAGTGACACTGCCAGGTGTCAACAAAGTCTCTCAGAAATTAGCTGAAACAGCTGATGAATAAGATATAATTGATCAGCTGATAGCTCGCCACTTGACATCTGACCTTGTACGTGATGAGGATGCGAGGGCTGACCGCTGACACAGTGACACTGCCAGGTGTCAACAAAGTCTCACAGAAATTAGCTGAAACAGCTGATGAATAAGATATAATTGATCAGCTGATAGCTCGCCACTTGACATCTGACCTTGTACGTGATGAGGATGCGAGGGCTGACCGCTGACACAGTGAAACTACCAGGTGTCAACAAAGTCTCACAGAAGCTAGCTGAAACAGCTGATGAGTAAGATATAATTGATCAGCTGATAGCTCGCCACTTGACATCTGACCTTGTAAGTGATGAGGATGCGAGGGCTGTCCGCTGACACAGTGACACTGCCAGGTGTCAACAAAGTCTCACAGAAGCTAGCTGAAACAGCTGATGAGTAAGATATAATTGATCAGCTGATAGCTCGCCACTTGACATCTGACCTTGTACGTGATGAGG